TAGTATTTTAATGCTATTTTCAAAGTATTTTTATTGTTTTTGCAAATACGATTATTTTACTAAATTTCGAAACTGATTAAACAGCTATTAAAATATATTTTGAAGCGCAATATTTTAATTATAGCGTTTTAAACAGGTTAAAACACCTTTAAAATCAGTCGAAAAATATATTAAAAATATGTTTTTGTACCTATTTTAAACCTGTTTCTTTTTTCAAAATACGTTTAAAATTTCCATTAAAAATAGTTTTAAAATAGTATAGCAAATAAAAATATGTTTTTGAAACTGCCTTTATCCTGTTTTTATTCCGGCGATTTATGAGGTATTTGAAAACTGTTTTAGAATCTGTTTTGAGCCTTGCCCTGGAATTTTTTATATATTTTAAACGAATTTTAAAATACTTTAAAAATTCTTTTTTAATAGCGTTTTAAACAGGTTAAAACACCTTTAAAATCAGTCCAAAAATACACTTTTCACTCTATTTAAAACCTATTTCACAAAACAGGTTAAAAACAGTTTTCAAAAATAGCTTAAAAATACATTCAAAACAGTGTTGGATTTGGTAAGGGTTAAGACTGGCCTAAATTGCCTTCACAATTTCAACAATGAGAAATGACATTATATCAAGTCTGGCGATGAAAAGGATGTGTTACATCTTGTTCTAGGACTTGGACAGAGTGATGGCTAAATATAAGGCGTCATATCAACTTGGCACCAAGTCCACAACATCTGAAGCAAGAAAAAGGAAAGAGCAGAGAAGGTGAAAAGAGGAAAAGAGGAAGCTCACAGCTTCCGTTCGCTGGGAGGAGTCTCCCTATGCAGAGGACTTTGAGCCGGACATATTTGGTATTCTCCGCTGGACAGTTGATTGTGAAACCCTACATTTATTTGTTTACCTCAAAGACACACAATGATGCTTGCGCGCGACCTTTGCAGGGGAAACTGCTTCGCCCAGGGAGGCCAGGAGATTGTCTGGGACTTCTGCACCTGAGGGTGAACTTACGACTGTCTTATAGGACAGCATCTAAGTACAAAATGGTTTGTTTGGGACAAGTTATGTTTTCACTTGAATTTGGCCTTGTAATGGATACTAAGACTATAGATATTTCATGACACAAATCAATTCTTTTGAAAGCAACCTCTGGTAACACGTCTAAAATGTGATGACATTTTTTTACATAAACTTCACATTTTCTAAGATCATTTTCCTGTTTTACAATGCATGTAGAATTGTTCTTACAATTTAATACAATGGTGCATGACATAAAATGAAAGTTTGGGCCCCCCTGTAATAAGAGTAATTTTAATTTGAGCCCTCCTATCGTGGCATTATTTTTGCTTAGTGCCCCCATCTGGTTTTTCAGACTTTGAGATTGCAATTTATATTACAAGAAAATACTTTAGTTATCAACTATTTATTTAGTTATTTTGTAGTATTTTTTTTATATATACTCGTTATGGAAACAACACTAATGCATTCTGTGCCAGTTTTGTCAGAACGCAGCTGTACTGTGAATAAATCACTACATATCTAAGGTCCAAAGCCAACTTTAATATTTATGTTTCTAGTAGTCAACAACTACTAAATAAATATAATATCTCCTACATTGAATTAAGAAACTAGTTAAGAACCTAATGAGCGTAAGTTGCCAATGACTACCCCAAAATACAAGAACCATTTTTGCCAGAGTTCAAAAAATGAAGGTTCTTACACGCGGTTTCTACGGTATTTAGCCGATGTTAACCAAGCAGAAAATAAGAAACAACATCATGATCTTTTTTATATGAAATGGAATTTGGCGCCCTCATTAACTTTAAACAAAAAGAGAAATTCAATGCAAATTCAAATATCATGTAGGGTTTTTTTTGCTCCGAATTTTTTATTTTTCATTGCATTGAGTTTTATGTTTTTCGCCTTTGTTACCCTAAAATTGCATTTCTCGGAGATCTTGATGACAAGGTATCTTGCAGTTGTATTGAAAGTCACTGGAAAGCAAACAATAACATGACTTTTGTTCGTGCAATTTTAAAATAGGTTATTACAAATCACCCCTCGGACCAAAATTTTCAGTCTTTTTAAAACATTAACCCGTTTTTTTACAAATAATATATTCCTATATTTACACTCAAAGTCATCAGCTGATTTCCTTTTCAAACAATTTTGAATGGTTAATATACACTATGATAGAATGAAAGAGTACATGTAGGGTCCATTTGAAGGTCACACCACTGGAGAATTGAGAATTAATAGAAACGGAAAAGCCACGCGCTAGTGCAGTTATTAGGTTAGTTTTAGTCCGGTCTGATATTTTTGGTCATTGTTTTAAATACCATTATTCATGAAAAAAAAAAACAACAACACGAATAAAAGAACGGTTGTCACGATCAGCTGATGTTGATAAGAGCAGCCACGTGGATGATGAGTGTAGACAAAACAAACTTTGTATTCGAAGACACGCCATGCATATTCTACGAATGTAAGGAAAGGAACAGGCTCAATTTTTCGTTGTTCATAACAGTCTCCTACAAGTTTCTTTCAACAAAATCCCCTCGGGACAGATTGCCGCTATTTTTTGTCGGAAAAATATTCAAACATTTCCACTTTCTTCGAAATTTTCGTTGTAAACAAGATGGCGGATGATGTTTTGGCAGAGAAAGTGTTCAATTATATCTGCGGTAGTGGCGGTTTTGTTGAATTATATGTTCTTTTAAAACATTCCTCGCCCTTGGGAAGTAGGAAATCAAAGGCAACAGCGAAAAACTGGCTAATGAGTCAACCTGATAGGCGTTTAGTCGTCGTGAAAGATTTCAGTGGCGAGATAGCAGGTGTGCGAATTGATTTAAGAAGAAAAATATGTCGGCAATATCACGAAAAAGGTTCTTGTGGAAGTGCTCAGGGGAAGTGTAACTTCTGGCATATTTGTAAAGGATTCGTCGAAGAAAATTGCGATGGCAAATGCAACCACTCGCACAACTTTTTTGACCCAGAAAACAAAGAGAAAACAAAAGAATTGGGGCTGGCTAAATATCCGAACGGGACTTTAAAACATATTGTTGCGTGGAGCCTGCCACAGGTTTGTGAGCTGTACACAAGAGGCAAATGTACGTCGGATTCATGCTTATACCTTCATCTTTGTTCTCAAGCTGTCCGAAGTTCAGCGTGTTCTTGTTCTTTGTCACACAACCTCATGGATTCTCACAACATGAAGATTCTCAAACAGTATGATTTGTTGCCTCATCAGTCGATGTCAACAGATTTTGTTCGGTGCAATATCTTGGTTCCAAAGGAACAGCGTGTTCTTCACAAAGCTCGTGATTTTTTACCAAGTGTTTGCAACACAGGTAAAAATTCCTCTAAGGAAGCGAAGGGAGTCATACAAGTTACAAAAAAACAATCGCCGAAAGTGTCCGCACCATCCAGATTCGAAACTACAAAATCTCAAAATACGAAACAAAGCTCGTACAATAATTCTAAAGAATTCGATGCTGCATGCAGTATTCAAGATGGAAATGAATTTGAGACGAAGAATTGCCCGTCAAATCTTTTTCAAGAGAAGACAACCAAGTCGGGAACACCAATCTGTAAGAAAAGTGATCGTATTAACAATTTAACGAGCAATGCAGTATCACCTTCTTCTGAGATTAGGCTTCAGTTTTCAAATATTAAAACTGGAGACGATTCTAATTCGTCCTTTGACGACAACAAGCTTTCAAATAGAAACACCAAAGCCTTTGGATGTAAAGATGATAAGAAAAATTCGGTTGATGCCATGAAAGTTGGTGGTTTGAAACAGAATCCTATAAACAAAATGAAAATCGAATTGGATGGAAATGATTCGATGAAATGGGAACAAGGATCTTTCGTTGACAGTTCCAGAAAGGATCCAAATATTGGCCAATCGCAAAAGAAGAAAAGCATAAATTCTGTGAATAAAGAGCAACAAACCAAGGCAAAGACTCAAGAGGTGGGAAAAAATGCTGCCTGTATGAAGGTGTTAAGTACACAACAACCGAAAAGTTTGGAGGTATCACGTGGCACTAAAGACAGTCAACGCCAACATGAATCCAACAGAGCCTCGGAAAGTGCCAATAACGAGCGGTTTGTGGAGGCCTGGTTGTCAAGCCGCGATTTCGTTGTTGAATCTACTTTCAGTTGCACTGATTGGCACAGGCTACCAGCCTCACAAGAGGCGGAATCTGGGCGTCAACGAAAGTTGTCTGTTTCCAGTTCTTGCAGCTCTGTTCAAGACTCGCGTAAATGTTTGCCCTCCAAAAAGGCTGTTTTCGATTGCATTGTGAAAGAATACAATGGCACGGTGCCCTTTGATGTCATTTCAAAACGACAAGATTTGTTTCCTAACGGTTGTGGGGACATTGCCAAGTGGTTTGGAGCAAGATCAAAAGAAAGCTTTTTAATTAGAGAAAAGGAAGGAATTATTTACGAGGTTAGTGCCTTCTGTCGAAAGGCAAGGCTTTGTTTCCGGGAGAAGTGTTCTCAGACGGATTGTCAGTACTTCCACGTGTGCCGGGAGTACATCGCTGGCTTCTGTAGGCGTGGTATTGGATGCCGAAGAAATCACTGTTTTCAGTACGATCAAGATAAAAAGTTAATTTCCAAACTGAGGTTGGATGGTTTGACAGAAGAACAACTCCGCAATGTGTTTCAGCTTTCAATGCCTCAAGTATGTCTGGATTATAACTATTATGGACTTTGCACCAACGGTTTGTCTTGCAACCAAGTACACATTTGCAAGGATTTTATCAAGAAGAGATGCAGCGATGAGGAAGACTGTGGTCTTCGACACGAGAGCGCGTTTGCCGAAGCTCACACCATTGCAGTACTTCAAAACTATGGCATGAGAGTCATAGGAGGAAACTTTAATTCAGTGCTTCGCACACTTTTGGTATGCCAGGAGAACATTTCAAGTGGTTTGGAAGACCCCAAGGGAAAACTCACCACAAAGGGAGTGGCCACTAAAGGGAGCAAGGAAGATCAGCACATGTCTTCGAAAGTGGGCGTGGCTGCAAGTGCCACCGCTCAGTCTGCTGAGGTTAAAGTCTTCGAATGCCTTTGCAGCGAGTACGATTGCTCAGCTTCTTTTTCGGTGATTTCCAAACGAACAAATTTGTTCCCGTCTGAATTTAAGGACGTAGAAGCTTGGTTTCGAAGCAAGAAAGGGAGCTTTCTGATTACAGAAGATGATCACGGAAAGATAACCCAAGTGAACGCTTTCTCTACAAAAGCACGTTTATGTCTCAGTTACAATAACTCTTATTATGGGGAGTGCAATAGAGAGAACTGTTCGTACTTGCACGTCTGTAGAGAGTACATAACCGATTCCTGTAACAACGGAGCGACGTGCCCGCGGAATCATCACTTCCACGATGAAAGAGAAAGAGCTCTGTTGTCGACGATTAAGCTTGATAAGTTGACAGATGAGCAACTCAGGAAGCTAGTGCTTTCATCTACTCCCCAAATCTGTGTAGAGTACAACAACGGTTAGTGTGATCTTGGTGAGTCTTGTTCTAAAATACACATGTGTAGAGAACATTTGAAAAAGTGTTTTAGAAGGGGATATGGCTGTGACTTACTTCATGAAGAAGCCATGAACATTGAACACACCAAAGCAATTCTTGAACGTTTTCAGCTTGGACACCATAAATCAGACCTGGTAAAGAAAATTATTCTTGTTTGTGAGCAGCGCAAGAATTCCGCATGTTCCAAAGAAAAAACGTCAAGTAAGTAATGTAAAATTCTGTCAGCCCTGCTACATCTCTAGTTTTCGTTTAAAGAAACATTTTCTGTGGTTCCAACGTATAATGCTAAAAACGTAGTCTACAGGGTCCACAGTTAGGTAGTTTAATGCTGCGGTTTTCGAAACCCGAGGTACAAGAAGCCTTACTTATTAAATTACTTTGTCAAACGATAAGCTTGAAAATCATGATTTTAGCGGAAAGGGAAAGGTTAGCTTTAGATATAACACAATGAAAGTGTTGTAAAGGAGGGAAGCTGCCAATGAAAGACGGAGAGCTAAGGCGGGTGTTAAAAACTTTCTACCCTGGCCGAGGGTTTAGAAAAAGTGGATTTTCCGTGACCGTTAAGACGGAAAACCAGTCTGACCAAAGATAACAAAATAAAAATGAATGAATATAAATATAAATAAAAAGTTCTTATCATATATATAAAATTAATACTGCATGATAATGCCTCAATAGTCAGTGGAACAAATTTTAATCATTTCTGAACAAGCAATCATTTTTGTCTTTTTGAATCAAGGCATTCTGACAGGACATATTCTCGTAAACAAGCCAGATTTACCCATTTGCGCAGAGTTTATTCTTAGCAAATGTACGAATGGTTCTAAGTGCACAGGCCATCACTACTTTTTGCCTTACCATTGGCAATATAGTGCGGATGCAGATGAATGGAAGAGTTTTAATGAGAAAGACAACGAGAAGCTAGAAACACTGTATTGCGACGTGACACTTGAGGAATGTTCTGCTACAGGCATGCAAATATCATTTGAAAGGTATGTTATAGTAATTATACACTGAGAGTCTTGTCAAATTCATGGATTTTTACTCATTTACAGTTATAATAAGTGTTCAAAGTTCGGTAGACATACTTCAGCCCAAGTCTAATGTATGAGAAAAGATAAAGGAGTATGGCAAAATGCAAGGGCTAAAGACAAATGAACCAGAACATTAACATTTTATAGTATAATGCATTTTTTTAAACATGAATTACAGGTTGACATTATTATCATTTTAATATTCATGTTTTAGCTATGGATTTTTATTCTTGGACGAGAAGTGTAATGTCGATATTTTCCTCGATAATAAGCTGCTGATTACACAGGAATATGTTGAAAGGCTCATGCGACTACGACGCCTATCTACTGAATCTGACGTCAACTCAAGCAACCCTCTAGCTACGGAGTGGATATGGTACTGGCAGGACGAAAATGGATTCTGGAGGATGTATGACCAAGACCACACTGTGAGTAAATAGTGGGAGAAATCATGATAACTCAGTTGTAAGTAGCCTTACAGTCCTCCAAGGAAAGCGGTGGGAGGGGTGAGGGTCGGTTAGGGCCCACTTTCGGTTGAAGATTTAATTGATGGCTTGTGGTGAGCTCCTCAAGGTGATTTAACCATTGTAGGATATGGAAAGCTGCTCTAGGGGATCTGTAATGTCATTCAATTCGTTTGGCGGAATGAAGAAAGGAAATCACTTGTCTCACGGTAGACAAAAAAGGGGGAGAAACGTTTTGTACGTCTACGGATTAAGTCGTTGCGTACTGATTGTGCTGAAATTCAAATGATTTCTCCAAACCAGTGAGAGATTTCAAAGAGTTTTATCGTTGAAAGGCCTGAGGTAAGCTTGTTAACTCTTTCAGTCAGATCGAAATCTTAAATATGATTGACTTAGTCTGAAAAGTATTGAAAAGCAAATGGAAACACTTTGTGACAGGTTTCATTTATGTCAGGTCACATTCCCGACAGGATAAAAAGCATATTGTCAGAGTCTTCCATGGAGGTGAAATCTTTACTTTAACATTGTATATGGCTGAGGTCTCAGAGTAATCGGGCAGAACCCCTGATTAAGAGTTGGACTTGCTGGTTATGTGACTGGTATACTAAGCCAACACAACAAACATTCCAAGTAATATATGGAGCGCACTTTTTAATTTGGTGCATCAGTAAAATTCTATATAGAGTAGTGTATGGTATCTTGTCTCGACAAATAACCTTTTTGTTCATAGGGAAACGATCTTCAAGAATCCCTAGAAAAAGCCTACTTGAACAAGAAAAACGATTTTAAGTTTCGGATTGCGGACCAGGATTACATTTTAAATTTTAAACCATCAAGTGACATGAGCCAGACAAACGTCAAGTACGGCACGACGAAAAAAGTGAGAAGAAGGCCTGGAAAATTTGTGTCTAAGGATGACATTTCTCAGCTTAAAAGGTATTTGTGTTGTAGAGTTAATTAATGACAAGAACTTTATCCCTTGCCACCGATATGATGGGCCGGTTTCTTTATTTCAAAATAATTAGCATAAAATCTTACATCATGTTTTCACTGTGAAATTAAGGTGACCAAAAGAAATGTTTTGGTAAAGCTCTGTTTTTAAGATAAAAACTAGGTACTTAAGACAAGACAAGAGAAGACAATGATTTATGTGTAATTTGACTGCAAGTATGGTCATTCATTTGCATTACAATCAGTCACAAAAAGATGTCACATGATGGGCCATGATGTGATGTCTAATCTGTTGGAAACTGGTCATTGATACCTAAAGCGTGTTTCGTGAAAATTACCTCAAAGTGCTTTTACTGTTAAGGTAAATGGTGGATACCTGTTCGGAGCGCACAGACAGCCCCCGTGGGCTAATCTGATGGATCTACAGAGGAAAACTTATGATGTAAGCATTTAAGTGAAACATCGGGTAATTAATTCTTTCACAGAGAACAATCAGTTGCTCATTTACTTACTATAAATTCACTGAATTATGCGTTGAAACATCCTTAGGAGAAAAAAATTCAAAACAATTAATGTGCCACTGCATTGGAGCAGTGTAAAAGTGCAGACTGCGGACTGACTGCGGACTATTGTTTTTAGGGCTAGAAAACAATGGGACTATTGTTCTCATGTTCACATTAGCCTGGTGAAAAAAATAGTCCGCAGTCTGCGTTTTACACTGACCACGCTGCATTACCATCTTATTCATTAGGTCTCAGAACGCAGTGAGTGTCCAGCAAAGGAGAAATACAGGAGTCACTAATACGCCAAATCATTGGTCTTCCATGCTATGCAACAGGCAATATCAACGTGTGTCGTTATCAAGACTTTCTGAAGAATTTAAAGAAGTGGAAGAATTCTTCAAAAAGTCCATCAAACGGAGTGTGGTAATTGTTGGAATTGAACGAGTGCAAAACCCTTTCATGTGGGAAAAGTACCAAAGGTACTACTGAACAAATGCATTAAACGTAAGGCATTAAATGCTACGTCAGCAACAAACGTTTCCGTCGCTTATTACAACCCTAGAGGTGTGAAGAAACTCTAATTGTCCCTAAAACACAGCGAAGACAATATCAAAACATAAGGATCACGTGGGCTTTAATTGAGTGCCCCACCGAATTTCGCGAGGGTGCGTGAGGCACGTTTTTCTAGTATGGGCTAGTTCTTAGTGATAAATAATGTTTTTCAATCGATACATCGTTATTTTAAGGGAGATGGGGTAGTGGGGGATTATTTAAAAGGCGCGGGCTTAATAGATTATTAATGGTATTTAACTAAACTCTTTTTTTTTTAAACAGCTTCTTAAAAAATTCTCCCAAAATTACGATGTACTTAATAGCTGGGTTGTTTTATATTTGTATATGCATAATTCACATTTTATCTTGTTTTGTATTTTTAGTTTGTCGAACGTTTTTAACATGAGTCTCTGGCTCAACATGACTCAATATTAAAACGACTGACAGAATTTCAGGGCCAAAAACAAAAGTTGAATTTGATTACTGTATCTTATTCAGGAAAAAGGAAAACATGGCAGCAGCGAGGATTGGCTCTACCAAGGGACGGTTTGTTAACGAGAGGCAATTGTTTCATGGAACTAACCCTGAAATCGTAGAAGCTATCTGCAAACAGAACTTTGACTGGCGTCTTCATGGGAAGAACGCAACTGTTTACGGAGAAGGAAGCTATTTTGCATTAAACTCCTCGTACAGCGATAGTTACGCCAAGGAAGATACCAAAGGGTCTAAGTTCATGTTCGTGGCCAAGGTCCTCGTTGGGTCTTACACTAAGGGCCAATCCAGTTATCGAAGGCCACCGTCAAAGGAGCCCTCGAACCCCGCAAGTGATCTGTACGATTCCTGTGTTGATGACCAGTCATCTCCAACCATTTTCGTCGTTTTTGATACTGATCAGTTCTATCCGGAGTACATAATCGAGTACACTACTGCTCGAGGCGGTCATCAGCAGCCTGCGGGACCCGCGAGACCTACAAGACCTGTGGCAAGAGCACCAGCTCCAACGCCTAGACGCTCACCAGCAGCAAAGGTAGTGGCAACTAAAGCGCATTACAAAGTTAGCAGCCCATCCATTAGCCCATCCACCAGTTACCAGACGAGCACAACCTCGAGTGTGCGTTCGCGTGTTCAAGCACCTGGTACAGGTGGATACACTTCCATATCCAGCGCAACATCTGCAAATTATTATCATTCACCCGTAGCAGGAGTGAGCCCATATACCAGCGCATCAATCCAAAATCAGTCTCCTCCCACGGCTTCTACTTCTACTTCATATGCGTACTCTGGCGGGTCAAGCATTCATTCGGTTTCACCTTCCTTATCTCGGTCATCCAGTCCAGCCTATAAGCCCAAAAAGCACAAGGGTTCTTCAAAAAATAAGAAATGTTTAGTTATGTAATTTCTTCCATTGTTTTTGTTGATTTTGTTGCAGCAGCGTTGAAAGAAGAAGAAAGTTTTAAAAACTATCACAAATGTTAAATCGTACCACCCCAAACTAATGCTTGAACGCAAGGTTGTAGACTAGGGAAATGCTTGGGCAGTTAATTATAATAAGCTCATGCACTATGAACGTTCTAAATTAGAAGAATCAACTAATAAATTTTTCTCTGAGAAGATTATCCAAAAGGGACTCACTGTTACATATTATCTTGAAAAGCAGTACTGTATATTGTTATAAGGTTAAGGTACGAAACTAAATTAACTGAAAAGTATAGGAGTGAAGGGGTAAATGTACTTTAAAAGACTGTGCTGGTGCGATTATATAGAGAATGCTTATTTATGACTGATCATATCGTAGAAATGTCACCCGTTCAAGTCCCATCTATTTTGCTTTGACTAGGAAAACTGATTTTTTTTATTCTGTTTAATTTTTCACTGACAAGAGGTCGGTTCCACTTTGGGGTTCGGCTCCAAAGAAAATGAGTAACCAATTACAACTGTAAAATAGAGGAGTCAAAATAAATTCTCTTGCGGCCAAAAAATCCGCCTTGCAGGCCTTTCTAGCCTTTCTAGATGTGAAAACTTTGACTGGCGTTTGAACGGAAAAAATGCCACTATGTACGGCCAGGGAAGCTACTTCGCAGCGAATGCCTCGTATAGCGACGCCTTCGCTAGAGTAGATTCTCGTTTACGTCAGTTCATGTTTCTGGGCAAGGTTCTGGTGGGTTCCTATACTATTGGCCGTTCCAGTTATCGAAGGCCTCCGTTAAAGAACCCTCTGGATCCTGTGGATGACTTGTACGACTCGTGCGTTGACAACATAGCTAATCCAACAATCTTTGTTGTGTTTGACACCGATCAGTTCTATCCCGAGTACGTCATTCAATATTCAACGCAGCGCCAAGCACGGACGGTTACTGCTAGTGCCTATGCCCTACCACAACCCTATGCAGCGCCCTCATCAAACCTCCAACCGCAGCAAGGCATTCGAACTGCTTATCTTACTTCCCAACACTCAGTTACAGCACCTTCGCTACCAGCTCCCCCGAGATCGCAACCATTAAGGAGCACTTCGACGTACCCTTCAATACTGAGTAGCGCTGTTTCAGCATCTATTCTAAATGGATCTGGTACAAGAAGCAGTTCATCCCGCGTAACCGCCGCCGGTTCAGCTGTACCTATGCCACAAAAAAACAACTCGTGTCGCTACAACATCCAATCGGCCTAGAGGGCTTGTCACCCGTGGTGGCCATAGCTCCACCACATCGGCTAGTAGCTCGCCAAGTAGCTCAAATCCTTTGAGTACAACAACTATTGCCAGGAGCAATACTGTCCGAAATTTAAACCACACAAGGGTTAGTTCAATTCATGGCGTCACACCTACACGCCAAGGTGGATCTGATGAACAACGTGTTGTGCAACGTTTTTTTGTTTAAGTTGATATTTTAAGCGAGAACAACCTGAAAAATAAGAACTGATTACGCGTACAGAACTTCGTGCACAACCCAACACAACAGTAAGAATTTCTCTCTTATTCAGAGCTCGCAACGAAACGTTTTGCTTATTTATTGACTGAGTCGACTATAGTTGTTTTATAGAAGCCATAAAAATTGTTGGCCGTGTTTTTATAGCCTTATAAAAACACCTGAGGCCAGCGTCTAGAATTCTACAAGTTTGAGGCAATTTTAAATAGGTACAAAATTGCTAATAATAGAAATTAACACAGAAGCTAATTTTATATAAAGTAAAGGAGGTCAGTGGCCATTTTCTTTTAAAGAAGTCTTTGTTACTGAGTATTCTTTTTGTTTCAGATTTAGTGTTTGTTTTTTCTTTATATAGCGATAAATATTTGGAAGGATTTGTTTTCTGACTCCTTCACAACTATTTTTCAAAAAGCACATTTTCTAAGGAAAGACGAATTCGTTGATTCGAAATACCGTAAAATTCCGAAAATAAGCCCTGGGGCTTATATGTTCCAATGGCCCTTTTTGAGGGGCTTATGTATCTCATAATCGGATAGGCTTATACTGGTTAGAAATATGCGTCTCAAAATCCATTGGGCTAGCTTAGTTGGGCGGAAATGTATGTTACTTAGTAATAATTTGCAGTAGGTTTTTACTTAAACTCGCCTTGAGGACGTAGACCTTTCTAAACTCAGCCATGCAAGTACTTTGTCGATATGGACCGAGGAAATCCAAACCAAGACTGAAGACTGTCATTACGCAAGCAACAATATACCGTTACACTTTTTGACTGCAATCATTTGGCACACGTAATAGTTCTTTGGCAAATGCAAAAATTTATGTGTTACTGTACAGTTTTTGCTTTGTTTTATTGTGAATTTGAGGGCAATTTCCGAGTAAAAACCCCCAGGGGTTTGTATTTGCAGGGACCGGCGACTTATCGGAGGGTTTTTCGCGCTACGAGTTTGGGTGGGCATATATTTGGAGGGGCTCATACATTTAGGGCCTTATTTTCGGAATTTTAAGGAATTTAGGAACCAATACAATTTAAATTAAATTCGAAATAGGTTAGATCATAAGAGGTGATAGAACAAATGAGCTGATGATCCTGGTTGATCTTCGCAGAGAGTTATGAATCAACTGTTTTAAAATCTAAGTATTTTATAACAAAGAGTTGAGTAAAGTAGTTTGTACTGGAAGGTTCGTCGATTTAACAACAATATAGAGTATCAACTTGAAATTTTGCCTCAGGAAGTCGCTGGTAAAATTAAAGTTAATCTGCTGTATCTTATGAATAATATTGGGCGGTCTGTCTTTTTCTGTGATAACTATCTATTAAGGATGACCCCAAATATAAGCCGGACTTTCGACAGGGAACAGGCGCGGTTGTGAAGTGTTTTGCAATTAAGGCGAGGGAAAATTTAGGGGCCACGGTTAACCTTGACCGATTTGCTCAAGATAGTCATTCTTTGTTCAAGAAAACAAAGCTGATTCGAGTTGTATAAAGTTGCAGTCAGCCTAATACCTTTTCCTTAAAGTTTACCGACGTTTTGCAGTTTGTTCTAAGAACGCGAAATGTTGGTATTAACTTCCTCTATAGAATGAGTCACTCAGTCTCTTGATTGAGGCCATGTCCACACGATTCCGCACATTTTTTATCCACATTCATCTGGACGGGGTCTTAAACTGCTCTGAGAGCGGTTTCAAAACAATGCGGTTTGGGTGACCGGATTCACAGGTTTCTGGATAGAAGGCCCGGGGGATACTCCCGATGATGGCCTGTACGGCGAGGTTCCCCCCGAAAGGGGTATCTTTTTCAGGCTTCAGGTATATGATAGGGTAGGGAAATTTTGGGTCTGTGAAAGGGCCCAAAAGGGCTAACAGATGAATTGTATGGCTTTACAAAGTGGAGAAAACGTTCTATTTAACAATTATTCCTCGAGCCCAAATGGGCTCTGAGTCAATAGCCCATTCGGCCTTCGGCCTCGTGGGCTATTGACTCAGAGGCCATAAGGGCGAGAGGAATAATTGTTTTAGTAAAATCCAACTAGTTGGTCAAAAATATCGCGACAAAACAACTTAAAGCAAGACTTTAATCCCTTTTTTGCGGCCAAAAAGCTGACTCTTTTCGCTACTAGTAGGCTATAACATATAGCCTAGTAGTATCTCAACCAATCAGAACGCAGCATTGGTAATAGACCACTAGTTGGATTTTACTGATTTATGATAGTGCATTTACAGCGGTTAAAAGGGATGCAAAGTTCTAAACTAGGTGTGTGAAAGGGGTACCATTTGTCAATGGAAGATATACGAAAGAGGCACCTCTTTTGTTCATTCAGTATCTTACTAACAAGGTACGTAATTCGCACTTACCGCTAACTTTTTAGCTCCTCAGTGAAGTTAATGAGCAGAGATTATTTATGTGGACTGATTTGCGTTCATTAATGTCCTCAGTTTCCATGCAGAATAATCTTGACCAATTAGTCATTCTTTGTTCAAGCAAAAAAAGGCTGATTCTGGTTGTAAGTTACAGTCCGCCCATTTCCTTTTTTTAGTCTCCCGTCTCTTTCCAATATGTTCTAAGAACGTGAAGTGCACTAACGTACTTTCATTTTAGGAAGTTCTTACTTCCTGGGGGTGCTAAGAGAAATTGAAAACAGTGCTTATGCAAAAATTTGGAGGGACACCAAAGAGTATTATGGTATTTTTATTGTGTTATAAAATGAGCCACGTACTCACCAACTCATTGATTGTAGTCTACAAAGCCACTTGCTGCAACTACGCTCGTCAGATACTCATTTATCAAGAAGCCGTGATACGTAAGTACTCAGAAATAAGACCTTTGTGAAAAAATAGATGAGGATCTTAATCTAATTCTGTAGACCGAAAAGTCCACGAAGACCTCTTTACTCTCTGTTATTGTGCGTGAAATTTTACCATTTATTCCGGGTTTTTTGTTCAAGTTTGCTGGCTGAAATTATTTTCGATTTTATGATACAAACTTGTTCGCCTTTGAAAAAGCCAAAATAAATACTCAAATTCCTACACGCATACTACAGAGCGCAGTTCTTCTGCTTCGTATAATTGCTTTGTAGACTTTGTAGGTCAGTCATCACGGATATAGGAAAACGTTTTCTTATTTACAATTTTTTTTATTTATTTTTATTTTTTCGCACTATTTCAAAAACGAGTGCGAGGGTTTCATCAGGTTTCCAAAAGCGAGAAAACATTTGAAACAACGTTTGGAAACCTGATGAAACCCGAAGCACGAGTGTTTGAAATTACTTCTCCAACAAAGAAAATTAGTCGAAATTATAATTTTAATAAGTTTTCTGAATTCAAACACATCAGTTATTTGAGACGTGGAATGTCAGGGCCTGTCACCTACTTGGTTCTTCCTGGTGTCGGTGTTGCTATATTCCTAGAATTTCACTTAACTAAACAAGGACTGCCATTGGTTGATTCTTGGTCACGTGGCCTTGACTAAAATCAAATGTATCCCGATCGTGATACATTAAACAATGTATCCCGCTCGGGATACATTGCAGCACGTGATCAAAGCATGGTGGAAAGTGGCGTGACAGAAGGCGGGAAAACACCGCCAGGTCCTGCCAGTTTTCTTTTTCGTGAATGAACACAACAACACAATCACGAAGCCTCAAGCTAAAAAGCAACGATTTTTAAAGTTATCACTGAAGTTCCCTGGAAGAAAAACAGCAGCTAGTGGAGGGAAAAAATGCAGATGATATAAGGAAAGTACTTTTGTTTGTAAATCATTCATTCAGTGGTTTTGAGAATTAAATTTGTGTTGTTGTAAGTACCGAGTCGACTGTTTTGGTTCGTTTTCGTTCGCTCCGGTTATTCTTTTGTTGCTGTTGAAGTGAAAGTCTAGAAATATAACAAAACACTTAATGTCAGATCCCTCGGGAAACCAGTTAGTTTTGTTTTCCCTCGAGTCCTGATGTTTCCCTCGACTTCGTCTCGGGAAACATCAGGACTCGAGGGAAAACAAAACTAACTGTTTCCCTTGGGATCTGACATTAAGTGTATATTGGCATTCAATGCCACGTAAGTGTTACTTGGCTACATGTATTTGTGACTCCCATAAGCAAACACCTTGCTTCGCAATACAGGTGGCAGAGTAGAGATTTTAATAGACGTCTTGAAACTTGTGAAGAAGAAGAAACGTGTGTGGCCGGTGCTATACCTAAGTGTACCCGATATAAAAACAAATGGGCGGCTGGCATTTTTGATAATTTGCAAAGAGCTCGATTTCTTAAAGTTGCAACGTTGTAACCGGGTGGTCTCTTTAATAAGGGGCCTTACGAAAACTACGACGGCGAGGGCAACGGGAACTTCAAAACAAGCAATAGGTTTAATCAGCAAAATAACAACTCCGCACGTGCATTATTTTTTGCAAATTTCTTTGCCGTTCCTGCACAACTACGACGTAAAATGACCAAATTGTAAGTTTACTTGAGAACGGGAACGGCAAGGCGATAAATTCTACCATCTCTGTCTGAACTCGCTACCACCTCTCTTCGCTCCAACTTAAAATCTCTTCTTTTAGGTAACAGTCGACATGGGATAATCGTAATAGGTTTGAAAGGACGCGAAATCTATTTTTCAGCGACGTGTACATTTTCATGGACGTCGCCGATGTTGGATCGTAAGGTCCCTATTAATTATGATCTGCACAAAGTTCAGTCCTTGGAAGTTTCGTTAGTTCAAATGGGTGCTTTAAGCCTTAATTACTGGCTGACGTGAGTCTATCCAAGAAATTGCCAAACCGTCAAAGGAAAGATATTCAGCCAAAACAATTTACCAGAGTGTGTGAAAAGCTGTGAAATATGTCGTTCCGTCGAGGAAAAGAATGAGAAGTTGGATTTTAATCCTGTCGATCGATGCTTCGGACAAAAGGTGCAGTGGTGTTGCTTTATGTGGCACTTGTCATTGTTTATTTTGATACTTTGATACTGTTACATTTAATGTTAGCAGTAAATAAGCTTGCTCTGAAGTGTACACGTATTGCAACTCTGTAAGTTTTTCATCTTCGTGCGTTCGTCTTGCTCTTTGAATATGCAGATTAAGAAACATTTTATACACGGGTTTGAAATCGTCTCCAAACACATGTGGTTTTCAACTCGTTTTTCATTGGGTTTCTAAACTCATCCACCTGACCAGAATGAGGCGTTCTGGTTGGGTGACAACATTATGAATAATTAATGAGTTTGAGAAATGCATCTCATGACTGGCATATCGTTCACCGTTCAGTGACGGCATCTAGTTTTTTTTTTGTACAGCTATATTTCGAGAAAGGTTGTCGGGAAAAAAGCGCGCGACAATCCCAAATGTTATTGAGGGTTTTTCGAGTTCACTGTTCTTCAAAGACATTTGAAAGAATGACACGAGAGGCCATGGAGATACGTTTGCGAGTGCTAGAGGAAAGCAATAAAAGTAGGTTCGACAGCTACAGTGTCAGGAACTGTATATTGATCATATGCCATATTACCTGTCAGGATTGTCACGTGCACATTTTTTCCGACAACCTTTCTGGAACTGAATAGCAGTGTATAATTAGAATCGCAAGACACAGCCGTGAATATCAGCCGCTCACGTTTTACGGAAAACCCCTAGCTTGCTATGGTGATATAAGGACAGAGGACTATTTTCTTTTGCTTGATATTAAATAATTACAAACAAATCTCAAATCATATCATTTGGCTCTTATCTGTTTCTGTTTCTTGGTATTGCGACGTGTACTATGATCTAATGCATTTATATGACTTATATAGCCGAGTTAATACGTTTAAAATGTCGAATTTGGTAAAAATTATTATAATTTAAGGATCTGCTTTTAATTTACGAATTTAATGCCTAAAAATCCGATGACCACTTTCCCGGTCTTTCAGGAAGCGACGTGGCAAGTTTATTGCAATGTTATTACATTATCAGTGTCACAAAAGTGCTAAATCCTGAGTACGTTTACCACCACTTCATACTATATCTGACTGCCTGAGATTCAAAAAGGCACCAGTAAAAATGTTTAGGCCGTTATATTATAACTGAGATAGTAAATGTCTCGGATACGGTGGCTGATATGGACAAAACATTTAGACACAAACGAGAAAAGAAAACAGAATCACAAAACCTCAAAAAAGAAACCAAAAAAAAATAAAAACAGAATAGCAGAACCAACAACACCAAAACACATTATGGTATTCCCGTTAAAAATTATTCTGATGCTGTGTGAACGCAGTCTAAATCCCGGGGAGGGAGGTACTTTAGGAATGTGATGTGCCGCTGAGACCCTGAAACCTTTAGGCTTTACCAGAGCTAGTTCAAGTGAATTTTGCTACCCTACACTAGACTAAACTCCCCAAATCCCACCCTATCCTAGAGTAGCTGTTTTCCAGAAACAACTGAGTTCACTAGCACAGTTCAGCCAAAACAAAACCGATTTGACTTTTTTATATTTTTGAGTGGCAGTTCCCGGTTTCCCAAGTCTAGACTGAAATCTTCAGCCAATTGATCAGTTTAAATGGAAAATGATAACCTCTTCTAGACCCAAACTCTCTGATTTATGAACCCTATCCCAGAGTTAATTGCTTGAAAACCATACCCTTCACAGCGGCACATATAGGGCAGTACCATCCCCCCCGGGCCTAAATCAAAGAATAACCGGGCTCAGTGTTGCTACTTCAGTATACGAGTACTGCAAAATTACAGTGTTAATACGGGGTAATTCTAGCGGAATTTGTGGGAAATGCAGTGTCGCGCTTGACAAGTGGCCGGAATGTTTTATATTTTTGCTCGTTTTAATTTTTCAGAATGGATCTACTTGTCTTCTTTATGGTTTGTGGAGTAGCTCTGCTTGGCTCTTGTACCAGTGGAAATGCAGAATGGCCCCCTGCTGCCTATAAAAGAGTCGTCGAATGTATTCCCAAGGGAAAACCACCACCGCCCTCAGTGCCTTACAACGTAGCATTTTGTCTCGCTTTAAAGGTTTTACGGAATATTTTGCATACTCTATAAGTGTTTAATCAACAAAGCAGCACGTTGAGGTACAAGGGGTCAATACTGAAAATGTCCTTGGAATATCCGGTTCCCAATATAAAAAGAATCGAGGATGCTTGTCGTCTCGCATAAGTGGGGTTAAAGCTTCGTATTTTTAAACTCACTTTTTACGTGCTCGGGGAAAAACGTCAATATTTTTAGCCGTTAAAATCTCGTTTAGGGTTGAAAGCAACGAAATTTATCGAAACATGAAGTCTATTTTTACTATTTTGGGTATTTGTCAGTGGTCAAAAACATTTTGAGCCGCGCCCAGAAACGTTTTCTGGCGTTTGATTAAAAATTTCGGACAATTATTCCCATTTGTTCCCTGAGGGAATCGTCCCCCCTCCTCTTCTGCACGGGTAAAAATGCCCGCGTGGCTGAACCCGACTGCCCTCGGCAGGTACTGCAGGAGATAACTTCGCCACGGAAAGGAAAAAGAAAGGAAAGAAAAAGAGACAACAAACAAACAAACAAAACAAACGAAAGAAATGAATTTCCCTTTTATATAAGGCTTGTAACCAAAAGTATTAACGTTTTTATTTTCATATCTAAACCAGATGGATTCCGAATGCCTACTAAAGCCATTAAATGCCACATGTGACCGCGAAGTTTTTGACTTTTATCGTGCGTACAACCTGGAACGGATTTATCTTACCCGAAAATCTGACTTTTGTCCGAAGCCACTTCCTTACGAGGAATTAAGGGAGCTTGTCCGTGAATCTGGTAAGTCATGATCTTAAATAACAGCGTGGTTTAGTCAGTAGAAACCTTTGCGGGATGCAGAATTCTACTAAACATGTAAATAAAACCGACTGGTTCCTTCTTGCTGGATCTCTAATCTAGAGATGCTAGAGCCAGACGTCTCTTGAAGTATTTTCAAAAACCCAACTGAATGCAAGGCTGGCAATACCGTAACGGCAAAGGGCTGATTTCTTTGGGGCCAATATTTCGGAGAGTGGTTTACGTTTTCGGAAAGTGGGGAAGGGCACACTCCCATGTTTTTTTCTTTTAGAAAGTCATATATTTTTAATTATGTACGGCACCTTAAGGGTTTGGTTTTTAAGCCGTTGAATCAAAAATAGTGTGTTGATATTATTTACGTATCGAGGGCAAGAAATGGGAAAAGGGTTTTTAGATCCTCCCCTTTATCAAGCTCACATTCAAGTAGTTCTTAGCTTGAACTTAAAGCTATTTATCAAGTTTCGCGTCTTTAACTGAATATATACTTCTAGAGTACTCTCTGACCGGTTGACTCATCTCTATATGTAAATTGGCCTTCTCTTTTTTAATAGGTATCATGGAGAAAGAACATCTCCCTAATATTGGTAAGCATGCATGCAAAGCCAAATTAGCCCAGTTGGAATAACACTCCTAATGCAGCTTGTAAAACATTTGCTTGGGCACATGGTTTTTTATTACTTAGCCAGGATTGTGGTAGAGTGCGAGCAGTCTCTTACTTTCTTTTGAATCACGATAGATGGCCAACATGCTAAATCGCGAGCTCGCGCGAGGAACGATAGCGAAGGCTGAGCGAAGATTTTCCATTCCATTTTTCCTCTCTCTGATCCAATTTCTTCTCCTTTTTACTGTTCCTGAGCATAAGAGTTTGAGGATAGAAGGACGATCGCTTACGGTCTAGTTGTGGTCCAGCTAGACTTTTTTATTATTTAGACACATACACAAACTTTATCAAGTATCAGTTTTGCCTCGAGGATTAAACATTTCCATATTCATGTCTAAGGGATTTTTTTTCTACCTTTAGAGAACGATACCTACGTGGAGTGCGCTGGTACGGTGGTGGAGAACACTTGTGTTAGGGTGGCCGTAACAAACTTGGAAAAGGGAAAAAATGTCCTCCAAATATTCCTTAGCTATATCAACTGCTACGATAAGGAGACGAAGACATGCCCCGTTCCTATTGCTCGTAATATCAACGTTGTCATACAGGCCTTTAAAAAACATATTTACGCACATCATGGCCTGCTTACCAAGATGCTGAAAAAGATCATTCCCGGCCCGGCGCAGTAAATCGGAAACACTCTGTTAAAACATATAACCGAATACCTTTATAGAAAGGATATTGGATAAATTCAAGCTAATTTAGGGTTAATAATTGTTAATCAGGGCATGTCAACAATAGTTCCTCATAAGTTAACGCATCGTTATAACACTTTAAAGCCAGTTTACTGCTGTAACTAGTTACATGAACAAGTTTTTTTAAAGGAGCTGGGTCGCGAAATTTATCAAAATTAAAACATTTGGAACAGCTGCCAAATTAAGTGAAACATGAAAATAACCGCTCAAAACATTCAGGAAGAAGGGCTGGTATAAATAACACACAAAATACAAAACAGGCACGGATGAACAAACGTTCTAGAAGATTGGAACTGATTGTAATCAGTTTTGAAAACCTGTCACCCTTTCAAAGTTCAGTTGTGTGTCAAAAGTTTCTTATAATGCTCGAGAGACACATTTTGTTCGTCGCAAAGTTGTGATTCTGTTGCGAGTAATTTCTCACGCTCAGTTCCATTAAGCGAATAGGAGTGCTTAATTGGCAATATTAAAAACAAGAACTAGGCGGCCGTGACCCAGCCTCTTTAATTTTGACCCATATGCTGTAATGATAATCATCTAAATATGAGGAAACAAAGATTTTTTTACTTGATTAGGCTATAAAGGCTACAATGTAGGACGAAACTGGATGGTTAACTGGGAATTTAATAATGCCTACCCTAGCTATCAAGGCTTTGTTTAAGTTTCATATAGTCCGTGTATTAAGCACTCTTTGTTGACCTTTTCTCTCTAGGAAGAAATATTTAGGAAGCTTTGGTAAATCATTTCAGTATTGTTTAGTTAAAAAGTCCAGCTGTTACTGACCAAAACTGAAGACTTTGCCAGATTACAACCAACCCTTAAGTCAGACTATAACATAGGGCCAACCCGAACTCATCGCTGGACACGAGTACTGCACAGGACCTAAAATGGCCTAAATGACAATCCTTCTAAAATAGCTCTTTCAAAGTGATTTTGCTTGCTGCCATGTCACGTGCTTTTGTGTGTCTTAAGGGGTGAGAATGGTCACCCCTTATGTGTCCTCACAGCAAACAATCGATGACGTATATAACACTTGTCGAAACTCGAACTATACATTTTTGCATGACTATTAAATAGTCGTCTCGTTTTGAGAGAATAAACAAATTCGACCGCGTTTACTCGTATTGGAACATTTTATCACTTGTTTGTCCCCTGAAATATCACGTGACATTGCTTTTATCCCATCAACCCTAAAGCGAGTGCAAAGATGGCAGGTATCGTGAATAAGGTCCAAACTTCCTAATGAAACACGTTCATGTCTTAACTCACCATAGATACAATTTTTTTTGTCAACGTTCCTTCCTCTACGCTCAAAACAAAAAACACCACCACCTAATATGGCAATCATATATTAACTATTATTATTCATTCAAAATATTTCCCCGATTCTGATTGCCTATAACCACACGTATAATTCACGTTAAGCAGCTTCTGATGACCAAATTTGGAAGAATTTTGCGTTTAATGAACCGATGACGTCAAAAGTGCAGCTTTCTTTCAGGTTAATGCACCGTTAACCAAGAAGACTTGGGGACGAGGTTGCCTTGTTCTGGTTGAGAAGACAAAAATGGCGGACATTTCACTCGTTTCAAGAGCAAGAACTACGCGAAATAATAGCTAAAAACATGGTAAGAACAGCAAGAAGACAACTCGAAGGGCGACATCTGCTATTTGGAGAATATTTGCGGAGCTGAACAACCCTAAACGTGCACTATCGAAGATGAACTTAACATCGGTGGATCGATGGAGGTAAGCATCTTTTAGCCATGTTTTGAAACTAGGAATTAGTTTGAATGAATAATAAAACAATTATTGAATTCTGCTTTCGTATCACATGAAGAATCATGGGGATCTCGGAGGGTTGTATCCGCCTCGGCCTACGGCCTCGACAGATAACTATAACACCCTCCTCGATCTCCATAATTCTTCATAAGATAATGAGTCTCATTCATTAATTGTTAAATATTTAATAACTGTCTCCAAAAGAGGTTTTGGGTTTTGAAGGTCGGTGGCAGGGTTCAGGGAAGTGCAAGTGACGCAGAAGCATAGCTTGACGCACCAGAGTACTGACGAGCTTGAACTTGTCGACCTCTTGCAGTTTGTTGGTACGCGTGAAGTCGAACGTAGTTGAAGACGTGGGAGACAAAAACTTGAGGCGCTGGTATACGGAGTCGCTCCTGTTGTGGGTGAAAAATAATACGCAGTGGACGTATTAAACGTTGTACTGGATGGGGAAGGGTAACCGCCTGTATTAACGGATACGCGCACTCGAAGCACCACATCGATCCACCACCATTTCGAAAAAATTTAAGTGTATATCATAGTTTGTTCTTTCTTAGTTCTTTCTTTCAAGTTTTGATAAGGACCAGTAAGCGAATATCCATCGATACTTCTGTAAAGGGCACCTTAAAATTACTAAGTAAACTTGTCAAGTTTTCAAGTGATACGTCTGAAGCTAGCGAGGAAGCGCAAACTTACCCCTCACAATAGAAACATCTGTATACATGTATTTTGGCGACTGTGCTAAGCTATCAGTCGTTAGTATTCAACAAATCACTCTCCAAATCAATAACTTTACTGACTTTAAGGGGTTCTTTCCAGTGGTCGTGAGGGACAAAGTTGACAAAAAAAGTGGACATGGAAGGATTTATTATCTTTATTACTTAACTGGTCCCTTCCCGAACTTTAAAGTCAACTTGGGCTTAAACTTTGTCCATTCTAAGACTATTTAAAATGCATTTTAATACGCATTATAACTTAATACAGATAATAACTTAAATCTACCGTGACTAAACGCGATGTTAGGCGGAATTAACGTTTTGTAACGACCATTTTCTGCGCAACACAGCGTTGCAACACTGTTGCGATATTGTTCTAATTGTAACAACGTTGTTCCAAAATTGGTTCCCAAAATTGTCGTCGATTATGCGGGTCACTTATAACATTGCCTCAAACGCTTGGTTACCACTGCAGCTGGTGCAACTAACCGTTAAAAAAAGGAAGCTTTAACAACCACGTCGATGACGTCAACGAGAACGCCAGGCACATTATACGGTATATTTCTTTGACGTCCACTGTGACGAGAATAATGCCATGCGATGTTTTATGGAGGGCGTTAAAACACGTGCACAACAACGACAATTTTTTTTCTTCTCTTTTAAACTTCAATACAGCGCTAAAGAATTCAACTTCAAGAAAATTCGCCTACAAGAGAAACTGAGGCTCAACAAACATAATTATGTTTGAGAGAATGGAAATTCATTGTGACGACTTTTCAGTGCCGTCTTCGTTGTGGTTGATGAAGGTCCCAAATGGCAACGACTGTTGCCTGTGAGTGTCTAAGTTTTGGAACTGGTCCTCTTAATATAGGCTGCTAATAGCTGCCTTGAGATGTGGAGTATTCGATTATGTACTCCGGGTACGACTGATCAGTATCAAAAACGACGAAAATGGTAGGACATGACGTATCATCAACACATGAATCGTAGAGATCACTTGATGGGTTCGAAGGGTCCTTTGGCGGTGGCCTTCGATAACTGTAATAGCCAGCAGTATAAGATCCAACGAGGACCTTGGCCACGAACATGAACTTAGACCTTTCGGAATCTTTCTTGGCGTAAATATCGCTGTAGGAAGAGTTTAATGCAAAATAACTTCCTTTTCCGTATCTGGTTGCGTTCTTCCCATAAAGACGCCAGTCAAAGTTCTGTTTACAAATAGCTTCCACTATTTCAGGGCTGGTTCCATGAAACAACTGCCTCTCGCTTACGAACCTTCCCTTATGGGAACCAGTCTTCGCAGCTGCCATGTTTTCCTTTTTCCTAAATAAAATACAAAAATTAAAATAGACCTTAATTTCCCCTCCACACCTTTCAAATCCAGAAGGGCGAAGGCAGCACGCCGATGACATAAATGCCAACCTCGCTAGTGAGCTATCTCTCCCCTAAATTCACTCCTATCTACCTGTCACGTCGGCCCGAAAGGACAGGAACAGAGATCTGGAAACAAGGTTCCCCTCTACTGAAAGAGATAAGGGAGAGGGCGTGAAATTCCTCAAGCAACCCTTGTAAATAGGACAGTCTCCTCAAAAGAAAAATGTTCTCCTTTGAAAATATAACTAGAAATACGTTGAGGCAAAAACCTCGTGAAGCTGTAAAGTGTCAGCAGACAGTAAGACTAAACGGAAACAAGCCAAAGGGAAATACATGATTAAAAACCAAAGCAAAAACTAAGTAGAAAAAAAGATTAACAACAAAGCATGAATTCAAAGGTAAAGATTTAATTCAGGGAAAAACAACGTTTTGACGGTAAAAAGCCAAACTGAAACGCACTTCCGACAAACAAACATATCCCGCGACCTATTAACCGGTAAAATCGTCTGCGAAGTGAGTCGCACTGAAAAATGTTCTTTGATCTCGATTTTCGCTCTTATTTTTTTAAGCGACTTGTCCAAATTGCTTCATTGTTCTCTATAAAATACTTTTGCCGTCGAAAGTAATCACCAAAAGCATTTCTTAATAGCCAAAACGGCCGGAAAAACAGTCAAAACAACGTCGAAGTTTCTCGCTTGATGAGGTGATTACATTGCGGACACCAAGACACATATTTGCAAAGAAATATAAATGGGCCACCCGCGTTTGCAGGCCGCTATGATTTACAGGCAATCTGCAGAGAAAGCGCGCCCCATCATTATAAACCTCGCTTTCGCGATGGTGCCTGCGGTGCCTCGCTTCGCGAGGAATTATAGTTTCTTCAATTCTCAGGCATTAGTACACACAAGGGTCAATTGCCCCTTCACAATCAATCTCCTTCTTCACAGATAATTCGATTTTTCTAAGGTTTGTAATAAGCGCCAGTAGCGTTTGTCATTATAACAGTACACCTTATATTTAATGCACTTGTCTACCTTTGGTACTTTTCCCACATGAAAGGGTTTTGCACCCGTTCAATGCCAATGATTCTCACACTCCGCTCGATCGACTTTTTGAAGAGTTTTTTTACTTCTTTAAATTCGTCAGAACGTCGTGATAATGGAACACGTTGATATAGCATCGTGGATGGCATTGGAGCCCAATGGCTTGGCGTATAACCGCCTCTTGTATATTTTCCTTGGTGGTTGCTAACTATTACTTCGTTCTGAGACCTAACGAAAAAGACGATTAATGCTATACACATCATCATTCTTACATGTTCTGTGCCACAATCAGTAGTTTTACCATCAGTTACTGAGCAGCAGATAGTACTATGTGAAACTTTCGTCAGACGTCTTACCTGAACGGAACACTTACGCCATATATATACACGCTGGGAAAAAAAAGGGCTAAATATCGGCCAAAGATCTTTCCAAACTATTTTTTAAAGTATGCATGAAATGTTACCAATCTCTCTTAAACTATAGAAGACAACGAGCTGAGACTTCCTTTATTGTATTTTTCTTAAGTTATTGTTCCAAAGTCTTCATTTTTTGATTAATACTGTGCATGACCAAAAAGCCCATTTTGTGACGTCAAAAATGAAATTTGACAATTCAAGTCGGACAAGTTCTTCAAGTTTTTGTCTACTGTATTTCTGCAAAGTACCACAGTTTCAGGTTAAATACCTACGAGGAATAAAGTTTTTGGAGTTTTGATTTTTTAATTGGCCACGAGAGAGTCACGTGACTGGTAACCACGGAAACGCTTAATTCAAAGTGTTCCTGGATTCAGGGATTGTTGCTTGTATTAATTTCAGTAACATACCTTTAAAGGACACAAAGTTATAGCCCCAAGAATTCAAAAACGTCCTGTGCCTATTACGCCCCCACGGAATTTTTTGGCCGCTCAGTCTGAAAGAATCCCCATCATGCATAGACCTGACCTAATATAAAGATTTAAACAAGGCCAAAAGCGAAGCTCTCATGGGTTCTTTGAAGAAATGTCGTTATGGAGTAATTTAACTTTCGCCATAAACAAGAAGTAAACTGAACTTCTCCTGAAAAAAAGACCTGCGCCTGCGAAAACCAAAACCTGGTCACCGGAGAAGCTAATTAAAAAGAATCACCTCAATGAGTCGTACACCTGATCCCGCGTTACAGTCACGTGACACCCTATTTCGATAGCTGTCAATTGACCATAGGTGGAGGTCCAAGTCAGACACAGGTTGTTTTACCATTTACAGAACGTTTCCGGAAAATCTGATGGAAAGTTAAAGTGGAACATGACTGTTTTCGCCGATCAAGCGGAAAATTTCCGGGAACAACGGAACATCTAAAAGGGTAATCCTTTTTTCCGGACGGAATATTCCAGACGGAAATGCGTGTTCCATTTCTTGAAAGCCAACTTTTACAGGAAAAAAATAACGGATTCCCATTTTTGGATATTTTAGGGTATTTAAAGAATACCCACAAAAATAAATTTGGAGGAGTAAGAAAAGTCCCAACCAGGGGACTTGGTTGGGAATTCCCTGGTTGGGACCTGTTTCACTTTGCCACACTTGGGATTTTTGTGGGTATTCTTTAAATACCCTAAAATGTCCAATATTGGGAATCTGTTATTTTTTCCTGTGTTTCAAACCAGTTTCAGGCCTTCGCGGTCGTTTTCCGGTAAATGGAACATGATTTTCTCATCATTTTTCCCTTGTCAGCAAATCCCACTCATACCCTCAGGAAATAGTCTCGTTATACTCTGAACATATCATTGGCCAGAGTTTGTCACCTTTCCAGTCATTAATTGTACCACACAAATACCTTATAAGTTGAGAAATGTCTTCTATGGACAAAAATTTTGCAGGCCTTCTTCTTACTTTCTTTATGGTACGGTATGTTACGTTTTCCTGCCTCATGTCACCCCATGGGTCAAATCTTAAAATGTAATTCTCGTCTGCAATGCGGAACCTGAAGTAGTTTTTCTCGTCCAAGAAGGATTTCTCTAGAGGTTCTTGGAGATCTTTCCCCTGTGAAAGGAATTTCAACTCGTCAGATTTGAACTGTACCTGCATACTAATCCAAAGACTCGAACGTAGTCGGCGTAGCAAGACTGGTGGTATCAGATCGCGCGGGAGTGCTTTTGGCAGGATCTGGATGTTGCAGTGCTTTTTGGCAGCGAAGTAGCCGCGCGCAGAGAAAGTTGAGCCCGCAAGGCATTTTCGCAAGCGTGCGACTCGTCCCATTCTTCACGCGGGTTTACATCCATAAATCACTTCAAGGTACGGTGCTTTTGTGTTTTCTGTCAAAAGTCGCACGCGTTATATCCCGCTGTTATTACATACATAGACAATGTTGGATAACCATTTTAACGTCTTTTTTGCTCCAACAGACCTAATATTAACTATTTTATATCTCCAGTCCTGTGAAGTGACAATGCAAATGAAACCTCAATCAAACAAATTTGATATGTCGCTTAAATATATGTTTTGGCACCCAGCGCTATGGCAGTGAAAGAATTAACTGGAGTCAACAGACGCTGGCGTCAAGCTGTAATCAACAATAGAACTCGGACAGACCTCTTACTTTTGATGAGGTCCTCTGTCTCTCACCACAATGAACGCCCAGTAATTTAACTCTCAAATATGCAACGGAAGACGCCACTCTTTCGTCCACCTGAAAGGCTTTTCTTGATTTTTTGTTCAAAATGGCTTAACGCCTACACTGGCCCCCAAATGAATTTTCAGTAACTGATCCAACATGGGGGCCAAGATGGCGTCTAAGTTTTACGGCGCTTTCCATTCAACAAATATTGCGGTTTGAAATTTCGGAAATTCCACGTGCCCAATGGAACGGTACATTCCGGTTGCACAGACCCGACCCATTAGCCACCGCGTGTTTGGGTATTGTCCTTGTAAGAAGTAGGATACGAAAGATCTGTACTGGGGACAACAATTTTGTCAAATGGAAAGGGTCAGTTTCGTCCGACCGATCGAAATGACCAGACCTTTCAAAGTCGGCCACCTTCAAAGCTGGTCCTGAATATTCCGGTCGGACCAAACCGAAATGGTCCGTTCCATTTGATATACCAACCGAAATTTTCGGAATTTGGAGTTGAGTGGAAAGCGCCCTTAGTCCCAAGCAACGCCACATTCCATAATACTTGTATCCCTTTGTAGTCAGCAGGCTCACTTGTTGCGAATTCGCTGAAAATTTGAATTCCCTCAAATAATTCACTTGCCAGCTAGGCAAGTTGAAAACGGAGTTCACCAGTCTAAAGTGTTATCATCCGAAAACACAACGCTTGCTTAGACATTTCTCCATTTTGCTCACCGTGTCGTCTTGTCCATACTTCCGCCATCTTCCATCTTCGCGCTTCCAGTACCATATCCACTCAGTAGCCAGGGGGTTGGTTGAGTTGACATAAGACTCTGTACATAGACGTCGTAGTTGCCCGAACCTTTCAAAATCTTTCTGTGTAATCTTTACCCTATTATCAAGCACAATATTGACATTATACATGTCGTTAAGGTGCGCACGCAAAACTTTATCCCTAAAAATATAAAGTATGAATAAAAATGACAATCATGAAAACGTAAATGATGTCTAAAGAGGTGCGAAGCACTTCAAATTTCAAATTTCAGACGCGTTTTCATGGTATCGTTCGGAGAATGTAACACGCTTCCTAACTAGCAATTATATATAGGTTAGCAGTCTGCAGTTATTTTTATTTGCTATTCTGTAGTTATTAAAATGGTTATAAGCGATTAAAATAGATTTAAAAGAGGCATTTAGTTTTACATTAAACTTGTTTATCACTTTCGATCGAGCAATCCAGGGGTTAACTAGGGGAGGGGGGCTCCTGGGGTGCCCGTGAGCCTTCCTTTTTCACAAAAAGCTAGGATATTGATAAATCAATTAAGTCTACGCTAAAAATTCTAAAGGTTACTGTCTTTAAATTGTAATATCTAGGCCTTCTTGTCTCCAACGTTTTCGCAAAAACATTCGTTTAAAAGCTCATTTTGTCGAAAATTTTCCTATCAAGTACCTTTCCCAGAATTGTGACACTGAAGAAGCATGCTAAGGTTTTTTATCTCTGGTCTCTGGCCGTACGCTTATTATTGATTTGGACTGAAATGTGTTCATAAACTTCACAATAACTAAATGAATGACAATCAATTAGTCTATCAAAATATTTTTGTAGTTATAATAATTTATAATTATAACATACTTTCGAAAATTTGATCTTCGAACGACCATAGGAGAAAATTCCTCGAGCGTCACGTCACAATACAGTTTTTCTAGCCTCTCGTTGTCTTTGTAATTTAAACTCTTCCATTCACCTGCATCGCTATATTGCCACTGGTAAGGCAAAAAGCAGTGATGGCCTGCACACTTAGAACCATTCTTACATTTGCCAAGAATAAACTCTGCGCAAATGGGTGCATCTGGGTTGTCCGAGTGAATATGTTCTGAGAGAATGAGTAAAAGAACGTGAGATAATCGGAAAATGAAATTAGTATGTGAAATTAGGGAATAATCTCACGCGCGTTTTGTCCAAATCGAAGGCTCGGGAAATTATTAGTATTTGGACAAAACGCAAGTGAAATTATTCCCTAATTTCACGAGTATACCATTTAATTACCTATTAATATCATGGGTGACGAATTACGTTAGCAATCTTGGATTTTTGACATGTGTATGCTGGATCGTATCGATCGAGAACTCCACTCTCTCAAATGTTTAGACCTTAAATTTGGCTTATAAAGTTCAGAATTTTTCAGACTTTTTCGGCAAAATACCTGTTAGAATCCTTCTTGATGTTCTCTTGAGTGTTCAGGTTTTCTAAAGCGTCTTTTTGTGCCCTGACATCTTCATTCACGGCATTTTGAAACTTCGTCGCCATCTTGACACCGAGACGTACGGAAGGGTTGTCATGGCAATTTTGTAATTTCACATGTGAAATTACAAATTAACGCTGAAATTTCGCGCCAAAATTAAGGAGTAATTCGATATTATAACGGAAACACAATCAGTAAATTTCATAACTTACTTCTGTGTTAAGCCCTTCTTATAGGTTTATTAAAATAAACAATTAAAAGCTAATAAAATCTAAAGAAATAAATTCTTAAGTGCCCTCAAACCTGTTTACAGGAAAATAGAAGAAGCCGCACCATTAGTGATAAAGAATTTCGTCTAAGGGTTATAAAGCACTGACTGGAAATGGCTAACTGTCATTTACTGTTAGGGTTGTCGCTATATATCTGTGAATAAAAACGATTTTCTGTCCCTATCGAATCCGAAAGAATGTAGTAGTTTTGGCTATGGGTTTCAGTGTTATCGGTCTGGGATCGATTTCCGCTCATTCCACTTTCTCAATTTCTTTTTCTCCAAAAAAATGAAGGGACTCTGACTTTCGTCAAATTACGTGTATAAGCTTAAACGAGACGGAAAGGTTATTTCGGAGGACGGAATCTGTTAATGATCGATCATTTGAGTCGTTTCATAGCCTTGATCCATACACATATCTGAGATATATCTAGTGGCGGCCTCGCTACAATGAGACATACGGAAAATCCTAAACTTTCACTGAAAAAAAAATACGAACGATTACACAGACAGATCGCTTGGGTGTTCTGTGTTCAAATGAGAATGGGGCAAAAAAAAAAAAAAATGTACGAGTCTCTGTCAACGACAAAGATCTTTCTGAAATGCTATGAGTGATGACATTTCAAATAGCAAAAGTAAACAGACAAAACGTCCGTGACTCGCGTTATACCAAAAACCATTCATTGCTTAATCTTCGCTTTTCGCGCCACAAACGCCGTACTCGATCCAGACCGAGAGCAACCTTCCTGACGTCCGTGACCTCAAGAACGTCCGCTGCTTAAGCTCTCTAATTATGCTTCACAAAACGCCGATACACGTTATCGTCTGCGATCTAGGACACAAAACATATGTTTTCTGTGTAGTATCTCGATTTGCGCTGTTACAGTTTTGAAGCTAATGGTCAAAATTACATCCATTTTTGGCCCATGCAAGTTCTTAAGAATAGCATAGCATGACATTTTCTCACTTTCACATCACCTTCTAGCAAGCTGAATTTGTATATCCCCCGTGTTGCGGGCTCTTGAAATCCACCTGAAAGACTCCTGCGTGTCTTAAATTTGGTAAGACCTCTAACCGTGCTGTAGAAAATTTGCCACAAAGAAAACTCTGAGCCTGAGCAGCGAACGATGCATACTCTCAGCGAATAATTTTCCTCGTGTTTTGATTTGAGTTGTTCGTGGCGCAATACATTCTGGTAAAAATGGAGCAGGGTGCTCTGGTAAAAAGTGCCACAGTGCACTCTGGTTAAATGCAATATGCATTTTGTCAAGAATTTAGGAAAAAAGTGTGTTGAATCCGAGAATTCGTCCCACCTTATATATTTCTCTTAAATCCTGATTATGTTGCTGCTCGCTCGCTACGCTTGCTCTACAGCAACAAGGGCACTGACCGTGAAAAAAGCATACCGTTTATAAGGAGCAATCGCTTGCATCAAGGATCCATCGGGCATGGGAAAAAAACATGTTTGCCTTTAAGGCGACTAACCGTCATATTGTTAAAGCGACTCAGAAGTCGCGATGGAATTTCCTGGACCACTAAATCTTGCAATGCATTATGGGAACCGCAGTCACAATGGATTTTGAACTGATAGGCAGGTGTAAATATTTTATAGATTTTGCAATATTTTTCGGTCTGTAAATAACTTCTTTCTTTTCTCTTTTCTACGATGTAGTGAATTGTGTTAAAGCGGCAAGATATGCATGTGGCCGTAATTATAAAAGTGTATTACAGTCAAAAGGTGATGTTAACTCGTAAAATATGCTAAAAACCCTCGTTAATCCACTTTTTCTGTACTGAGAACTAAAAAGACTAATCGTAATAGCAACGTTGTTGTATCAACAAGGTTACAAAACACTTTTATCAGAAAAAGAAGTATGGATTATCTGTAGGACACCCTATCAACTAATTGGTCAACTAAGTTTAATTTAAAGTAGTATTTTTTTTCTCTGGGTATTCGCGAAAAAGCCTATAAAGGACTAGAACAAACGCCACTGAATCGTAGTCAACAGTTACCAGCGCCGTACAAACGACTTATTGACGAGATCAAGCAAAACTAACTACGAGAGAACAACTGGAGAACTAACAATTTAACTAACAATAGACGACTGTTTAACTGCGACAATAGACGGATCGAAACGCACCAATCACTGATTACGAGTCTTCATAGCCAATAACATCATGGTTTAACTGACAGACGACCAATAACATAGCGACGTAATTGACCAATCAGATCAATAACTAGAGCATAACACCGTCAACTGACGTGATACAACTCACTTTGACTCTGAAGATGACTACCGCACAGGTTGTCAAAACATCAGTCACTGTCAACAACAACAGTCTTATTCAGGACTACGTTCACCCGGACGATCAAACTCAACCTACTTTTGAGATGTATTCCACTGTCTGTCGGTGTCTGCTTGTCGTTTTACTTTTTTTTTTGGCTTTATTGCATAACCACTGTTACTACCTTCATAAGACGAAGTCAAGGCTGGTCATTTCGATCTGGCAGGGTCCTGGACAAGTCGCAACAAAAATGCCGTCTTTTCGCAAAAATTAAAGTCTGCTGCAAATTTTTTCACACAATATCTCCTAACAAATTGAAGCGAGGTATGATCTCTTCTTCAAATTTTGTAGCGAGGAAGGATCCAGGGACGACAAGTCCGTTTTCCAGTCTCCTTGATCCACTCACCTTGACTTGCACTTTGTTCTCACTGCGGGCTTTTTAAAGAAAGGTGAATATAAGGAAGGAAAAAGTTCCATCGGCACACGCCCAACAAGTTTCAAGGTAAGTCCCTCACGTTAACATTCACCGCCATGAGTATTTGTTACTGTTACAGTTTCAAATATTGTTCGTTTTTACATAAATATTATTATTATTATTTTTTTTTTTTACATTTGGTTGTTTCTTAAGAAAGAATTAAGCGCCCTTTCCCGAAGAGGCGTCCTCCCTTGAGGCACCAAAAGCGCTACGGTTAGTTTCGGTTGCTCGAACGCCGGTTAGTATAACCATGGGTTAAATTTCTTCTGGTTGCGTTAAATTTAACGTACCTCGCTACTAGTCTTAACTTGTTAACTATCGGGTTAAAATGACGTGAGTTGCAAAATCAATGAAACAACGTTTGGCAGTTGATTTGCTTTTTCCCTTCATTTTGTTAGTGGTCAGTTTAATCTCGGAAATGTTTACTGTTGCTGAATCGTAAGTGATTCTCCTTATGTAGACGCCGAGAATCACAAGCTGCGAGAGACTTCGCGACGTTTTGCGAGACACTTGTCGGCCATATGTTCTTCAAGTGCATAACGTCAAAACAGTAAATGTTGTAACGCAGATTTTTGACAGGTTCATAGGATAGGTTTGTCTTGAAATTTTAATATGTTGCAGCGAATCAATCTCAATATACATTATGAAGATAATGTGAAGAGATTTAAAAAAAAATTCGTTCGAGTCGTCTCAGAGATATACAAAAAAGCGCAAAAAGTCCAAATTTTGAATGAAGTTGCACTCAGACAGGTGGTGAGAAAGGGGGTTTAGTTTTCAAGATCGCAAGAACGAAAATACACCAAAATTTCCTAGCATCAAAATATAATTAAGCAGCATTCTGACGCTCCTTAAGAATAATTTGAGTCATTTATAAACTTTTTATTAAATAATCTATCACAGCTATTGAAAATTTAAGGTCTGAAATATATTTCCGTTTTAGTCGAATTATAACATACAGAATTACTTACTTCTTACGGAGATTGTTTGCTAAACACCAAACTTTAAGTTCCTAGTGTTGGATTTTCAGTAGCTGGTCTAGATCACACAAAATTCGGCTTTTATCAATTTCAAAATTTTTTGCTGCCCCCGCAGGGATTTCGCCCAGAGGCGAAATCCCGAGGAGGCACCCTAGTAACTAGCGCGTATGTTAAGGAAAGTACTTACAGTTCAAATATACAGTCAGTATACTAGAAAAAAATCTCGATTTGCTTGAACAGGGGCCGCGAGGAATCGGTAGGTAATGATGACGTTTCTATTGTTTGCGACCGCAAGTTCGAAATGGTTAGGATGACGTAAAGACAGAAAATCCCGAAGGGACCGCTCAGGTAGATTTTGTGACATTTATTGTGCAGTCATACTTCGATACTCTTTTGCGTTACGCAGTGACATTCTGTGGAGCAGTTGTTTTGAAAGTTATGGACCAACAGACACTCGTTAAGCGCAGATGAGGTTATAAGGTGCGTTTAACTGTTTATATATAAACACTTGGAGAGTTTGCCAGACACGAGTTCACAAATCTTTGATTTATATTGGAAACCTTGCCAGACACTCTTTGTCTCTCTTTGACCCGAATAAGACTCAGCCCCAAACAAGCAAGACGAGTGAACAACGGCTAGCTTATCACTAGCAAATTGACGGACAATTACAGAAATTCGCCGACAATCAAATTCTGTGCTTACTTATTCCCTGCTCACAGATGTCCTTCCGTTATAAAGTTTCAAATAAGACTAGAATGCGCGAGCGTGAATCGATCAAACGTCCGTTTAATTTCTAAGGCTTACTTTCCGGCAAAGAAAATGAACTGAATGTAAAAAGTGAAAGAGAAATAGCGAAAAATTCAACTTCTAATTGAATCTTTTCTTATGGTTTAGAATAAACTATTCTCGAAATTGAAAATGTTTTGATCAAAGCTGTGTAAATCGAGCTGAAACTGTGCATGGAACCTTGCGTTTCCTGTATTTATCTCACCTATTGTCGGTCGCTGTATTTTATGGAGTATGTGTGAAAATCTTCATTATGAATCGGTATATTTCAAAGAGCTACACAACCAGCAAGAATACTATTGACCGACAATATACAGAACGGGGGCAGCTGTAGTGTCAACTATTACTAGTTTATTGATGTTATAGTAATATCGATTTCACTTAAAACTACATTTTCACAAATTGCAATCCATAGCCAATTACTGGTGAAAACTTTATAGTGATCGGACAAGGAAAAAACCACTTATAAGGCGATTGAAAGACACCGGTATGGCCTCTGAAAAACTGTATCGAAACACCTTAAACTAATATCTGATTTCTTTAGAATGGACATTTTCCTATAAGAAAAAAAAAACAACAAAAATTTAAAACTGTGAGCAAAACGATAAACAAACCTGTGGTAAACACAAACGTGCCAATATTTCATCCGTGATCCCTTGAGCTGCCACGATGGACGTGAATCTAAGTACTCCGTAACTTTCTCTATTTCTCTTCGATTCTTGCTTGCTTCTTGAATGTTTTCTGTTTTTTTGTTACGTATGTAGTGTCCTTCGATTCTCCTACCTTTATTTTAGTGAGTCATTTACTTAGCCCCATTACCATAATATTTTAAGAATTGCTTTCTCCTGTTAATAGTGTTTCCTATTTATAGTGTTCTCTTATTTATAGTTTATTGTTGTTGTTGTTGTTGTTGTTGTTGTGGAGTGGCACAAAATAGGTACCAGTTCCCGAGGAAGGAAAACTGAACACATGAGATTGAGGCAAAATGTGCCAGCCGGTTCAAGATGACGCCAAACCGTGAAATCGCATGGCATCCAGAACGCATCGAGATAATTTTAACTGGTGAAATTGCTGAAAACCTTCGTTAATGCACTTACTGAGAACTGAAAAGACTAATCGTAATAACAACGTTGTCGTATCAACAAGGTTTGAAAACATTTTTATCAGAAAAAGAAGTATGGATTATCTGTAATATACCCTATCAACTAATAGCCCATTTCCGAGTTCTCAACCATGCGGAGACTGGTACCGAAAATGCACACAAGATCGAGGCTAAGTGCTCAGTCACGCTTGACGGTGCACGCGAAATCTGAAAGCTCTCCCGGGAAAATTTCACCATTCACTGCCTTCGATTCAAAACATTGTTTTATTCATAATAAATAATTGTTTATTGTTCTGTTGCCTGTTCAAAAAGCGCTAATCGCGATCGAAAAGATTTATCGTATTTCGTTTTCCCCTTTAACAAGAGGCTTAAAAGTGGCTAAAATTCTGTCGAAGAGGCGACAACAAGTTCGCATTTGAGGCAGCCAAGGCGAAGGCTGGGAAATCTAACAACTTGAGGATCTGCAGTGCACATGTTACTCCCGATTCTTACAGAAAAATGTGGAATGGTAAAAGAAAAGCGACTAATGTAGGTCTACTGACGATTTTCCATGCGAGAGAAGAAAGCACACCGAGAAATGTTCACTACGAATCAGTGAGGAAGAAACGTAGGCTGAACGACGACTTCAAAACATGCGGGTCCAGCCAGAATGTATACACTGATGGGGAAATTATGTCGATGATGCTGATCTTCGAGATGTCCAGGATGATCATTCTTATTGTTTGCTTACGTAACAAGTTGAAGTGATCGACCTTCAAACGATGAACTTCAGAAGGCTGAACTTGAAAAGGTCAAGTCTGTAGGCGGTCAAACTGACATGACCTGGAGTGACATAGACGAGCAGGAGAAGGAAATTAAAAGCCTTAACGACAGGCTATCAGACAAAAGTCAAATTAAAACGAGAGTTATTTTTGAACGATGTACTGAAAAGTGATGATTTTGTCAAGTTTTATACAGGGATATCAACAATGGAATGTTTTAATATGCTAACTAATTTGATCAAACCAGAGTCAGAAAAACTTAAGTATTGGGATAAGAACAAGGGCAAACATATGAAATACCAGACTTCCCCTAACTGTAAGACTGGACCAAAGAGAAGTCTAAATGTCACTGAGGAGTTTGTCATATGTATTCTTAGGCTGAGGCTTGGTTTGATGGGAAGGCATCTTGCTGATGTATTTTCTATCTCCCAGGCACAGCTCAACCGCATTTTTACCACATGGGTTTGCTTTCTTGCTTCAATATTTAAAGATACCTTGGTACTCTGGTCAAGTAAGGAAGAAGTAAAAAAACAATCTTCCTCACTCCTTCAAGAAATATCCAAATACCAGAATAATTATTGACTGTACGGAAGTCTTCATTGAGAAGCCCACCTCACCTTAAGCCACGGCGACATGGAGTGAGTGCAAGGAACATAAGACCATTAAGGCCTTGTTGGAATTACCCCATCTGGTTACTTCAGTTTTCTGAGTCAATTACCTAGCTCTATTACCATAATATTGTAAGAATTGCCTTTCTCCTGCTAATAGAGTTTCCTATTTATAGTGCGCTCTTATTTTTAGTTTATTAAAATATTTGTTAAGTTATCGTGATATTTCTTTGTTTTCTTTCATTTTTCTCTTCCCTAATCCCTTCTTTTCTTTCTTTCTTTTCTATTTGAGTGCGGGTGAGTGTTTGTGTGTTATTTGTTATAACTATTTGTTGTAAATATAATTGCAAACTATTATTGTCCCGCCTAGAATAGCATTTTTGCTAATTGTGTGGACAAGACAACTGTAACTTGTTGCATGAAATTCATTAAAGACTGTTTTTGTTGTTGTTGTTGTTGTTGTGGAGTGTCACAAAATAGATACCAGTTCCCGAGCAAGGAAAACTGAACACATGAGATCGAGGCAAAATGTGCCAGCCGGTCGAAGATGGCGCAAAACCGTGAAATCGTATGGCAACCAGAACGCATCGAGTCCCGCGGGACTCAAATTGTATTAGGTGTTTTCCTTCGTCAAACGCAATAAAAAAATGTAGAATCAGCGAACCATAAAATTGCAGCGCTACAAAAACTTTCATAGGCTGTGCATTCTGCATGCAAAAAACCGAATTTCTGGAGATCATTGTGGCCTTTTATTAATTCTTAAAGTTGCAAACCAGATGCGTTAATTACTCGCAAACAGGGACGGTGTCATCAAGGACCAAAGTCATATGGCACAATACTTAATTAATATCACAAAGGCCCTGATCCTGAGGAAAGGATAACGTTGGTAAGGAGCAATCACTTGCATCTTGGATCCATTGGACATGGAAAAAACATGTTCGCCTTTAAGCCGACTAACCATTATCTTGTTAAAGCGATTCAGAAGTCGCGATGGAATTACCTGGACCACGAAATCTTTAATTGCTTGCAATGCATTGTGGGAACCAAAGTGACAATGGATTTTAAACTGATAGGCAGGTGTAAATATTTTATAGATTTTGCCATAGTTCGGCCTGTAAATAACTTCTTTCTTTGCTCTTTTCTTCGATGTAGTGATTTGTGTTAAAGCGGGAAGATATGAGCGTGGCCTTAATTACAAAAGCGTCAAAGGTAATGTTATTTGGTGAAATATGCTGAAAACCTTCGTTAATGCACTTACTGAGAACTGAAAAGACTAGTCGTAATAACAACCTTGTCGTATCAACAAGGTTTCAAAACATTTTTATCAGAAAAAGAAGTATGGATTATCTGTAGAATACCCTATCAATTAATTATTAAAGTGGTCAACTAAGTTTAATTCAAAGTAGTATTTTTTTCTCTGGGTATCCGCAAAAAAGCCTATAAAAGAAAAAAAAGTAGTGCAAAAATGGAATGACTACCAACCGAAGTATCCAAGTCCTGTTGTCGCACATTCTTCAGGTCCCTCGCCATAATTGTAAGAATACTGTTCATGCTTCTTCTGATCATCAAATACTTTATCTAAACACGAGAAAAATTCAAAGCATAATTTTGCAAGTCCTTTATATATTCGCAAATTGTGCAGTTAATTTTTCATATTCGAGATAAAACTGATTATGCTTCTTCTAATCTTAAAATCCTTTATTTTAATACGACAAAAATTCAAAGCATAAGCTTCTTGGGTCGTGTTATTATTAAAAGCAGGAGCCATAATAGGACAGAGAGGGAGTCTAAGGGCGTTGGCCGGGATATGTTAATTTCAAAAAAGTTATTTTTAGAACTATGCGGACCACGCGGAAACAGTTTCCGGTAAACTTGTTGACTTCCGGAAGACTCGCTTTCACGATTGAGCGTGCAAAAGCGAGGCGGAGGCAGCAAATGAAAAAAATGGCGGTCTAAGTGGAAAGACTTTGAGTTGATAAATTGTCCTACTTCAACGAAGAACCTACCATAGAAACTAGTTAAAACTGCTACACAAACGGGTCCTTTACAAGCAATCATAGAAATACAGTTAAAGCGACTGCGTGACCATCGTTTTTGTTGGAACAGCTGGAAAGAGGAGAAGCAGTATTTGCGGCCCGCATAAGCGTTGAACGCAAAACCCGTGGGTCCTAGAACGACGACCGTACAAGCGACCGTGTGGACAAACGTGTGGACGTATTTTCTCTTGAAGGAGGAAGAAAAAAAACCTATAACGGTTTCTAGTATTTTTCTCAAGGACATGACCAGGAATCTTGGAATCTTGTTTCGCACTTCACATTGGACAATTAACAATTATTCTTTGTTGAACAGGAGATGAATAGAAGCTGAATATTCTCAGCGAGGTAAATACTCCTAAATCAGTAAGGAAACCATTTGTTTAATTTGATTGACGGATCAAATCATGCGTGGAAATCGGTACCTGTACAGTACATGCGCAAAAGCTTGATCTTTACAGAATTTTCAAAAATTGCAAATCAAATCGCGGTTTAAAAATTCTTTGGCAAACAATAGCCTAATGGTTTATATGGAACCGCCAGAAGTTTAAATTGTACTTCCCAGACTGAAAAGAAACGTTCAGCTTTGTTTTCAACTGCTTATGTCGACGGGTCAAGTTAGGGAAAAGGTTGTTTTTGCAGCTGTGTTGTTCTTCGCAAGTGCTGACAATGGTGGCCCGGTTGCTTGAGGTAAGGCACCGTTTCTCTATAGTTTTCTCTGTCCTATTAAGTTGAAATCTCGAGTTTTCGTAAAGATTTGCTTTGATTTTTTTGTCATAAGTTGAATTTGATTTCTGCAGGGAAAAATTCGCCTGTAAAGGAAATGTTGAGTTTACAAAAACACCTTGACTTCTACTCGATTAAACTGTAATCTTAACTGTAAACATTCCATCGAGCGAAAAATACTGCTTTAGTTAATCGGAAAACGCTCTTTTGAATACTTTGAAGTCTTTTCTTACCTTCAAAAAATCAGCCCTAGGATTTATTTTGACAAATTTTGAAAAGTTCTTACTCTAAAAGAATTGACAAAACACCGAGCTCACGCATTATTTCAGATTATTTACTCGCGAGGTTCAAACACCATAAAGATCACCGAGTGTGTATCCAAAATAGATAGTATGGTAGTCTCATCTGGAGTTTATTTACTTTTATACTATATGTGGTTTTACCATGCCTCATATGTTCATCATACACCTGTAATAATTAACCTTTACAGATCCTGTACCACAATGTGTTGGTAGGATTTCCATACAACCTTAAACATTTATTATGTGTGTTAAATAAAATAAGCTTGCTGCTGTAGTGTCGGGTCTAAAGCGACTTATAGGATAATTAGATGCAGAATGAGCGTTAACACGCTAAATCCTCACCCTCTTTCTAAAAGAGTGACTGGATTTGCATATAGGACAGTGGTGAACGGACTAGTGTGCAATGTAACTAGTGTATAATGTAACCGTTTATTGAGCTCGATTCGCGACTTCACATTGGCGACGAGGAGTTCCTCTATTTTTGGAAAATGGCTGGTTTCGATACAAACCTGAATTACGGAACATTCGACCCCGACATGGATCCAGCTTCGGTGGGTTCGCGCTTCAGAAAATACGTGGAAAGATTTAAAGTTTACGCGTTGGCAATGAACATAAAGGATAGAGCAAGGAAAAGAGCTTTATGTTTACATTGTGCAGGACCAAAAGTACAAGACATTTTTGACACCCTAGAAGACACCGGTGAGGATTTCGAAACCGCCGCTGAGAAACTCATGGAATATTTTGAACCAAGAAAACATCACCTATTCAACATATACCAGTTTCGGCAGCTAACGCAAGAGAAAGAGGAGTCATACGATGACTTCGCTACTCGCCTAAAGCAAGCAGCGGGTCCTTGCGATTTTCCGACGGATTGGGGTGATGTTAAAATTCAGCTGCAGTTAACAGAAAAAGGAAAATCGAGGCGGGTCAGAAGACGGTTGCTTAGCAAACCTCATACCCTAACGGAGGCCGTGGATTTCGCAAGAGCCCAGGAAATGTCGGATAAGCAAGCGGAAAGAATTGAAATAGACCGACAAAGCCATGGAACTGACACCAATCCAGAGGAGAAGTTATATACGCTCGAACAACAGGCACAAAGCAAGACGGCTGGAAAGGTGTGTTTTTCTTGTGGTGGAACTTTTCCGCACGCTGGAGGAAGGATGAAATGTCCAGCCCGGGGGAAGAAATGCTTGACGTGTAACAAAATGAATCATTTCGCCAAATGGTGTAGGATGAAAGGAAAAGAAAACAAGGTTGTGCTGAAAGCAGTCGAAAAGGACTCGGATAGTAGCGATGCGGAATCCCTTTGCGGTATTGAGAAAGTTGGGGCGGTCAAACACAATCAGGCCCGCAGGCCCGTGAGCAGTGTGACGGTGGAAAATCGTGAATTTCAAGTACTGGTGGATACAGGAGTCACGGTAAATGTAATGGACGAGATAACGTTCAAGAGGTTACTGGCCGATAAAGTGACATTGAGAAGGTCATCGAGTGTTTTGCGTGCATACCAATCGAACGAAAACCCGTCGGCAGCACTGAAGGTCATGGGAAAATTTGAGGCCATTGTTGAGTCGAACACTAGAATCGCCCCTGCCACGTTTCAAGTTATAAAGGGACATACGAACACTGAGCCCTTGATAGGTTTCCAGACCGCGGAGGATCTTGGTCTTGTTAAGATGGCAAACACGGTCCAAAGTGAGGAAACAATCTCAAGCAATCTGTTAAAAGAGTACGCTGATCTGTTCCGCGGTATCGGAAAGATGAAAGGAGTGAAGGTAGATTTGCACGTTGACCCCGCAGTAACACCGGTTGCTCAGGCCCACAGAAGAATACCGTTCAGTGTAAGACCCAAGCTGGAAGCAGAATTGGAGAAACTCGAAGCTGACGACATAAATAAGAGGGTAGAGAAGCCTACCAGTTGGGTGTCCCCTGTAGTTATAACGCCGAAACGGTTCAGCAATGAAATACGATTGAATGTGGATATGAGGGAAGCAAATAAAGCCATTCCACGAACCCACACTGTCATGCCTACACTTGATGATATCATAAATGAGCTCAACGGGGCCACAGTATTTTCTCATCTTGATATGAACCATGGGTACGACCAACTGGAACTGAAGGAGAATAGCCGCGACATCACCACTGATGGGTATTTACAACAACTATTCAGGCTGTTACAAGGTCAGAAGAAGATTATATGTCAACGAAGCTTTTGTTAATCTAACTTTATTACGAAAAAAATCACCCTTGTTTTTGCTAAATCATGTGTTTGTTGTGCCAATCAGAGGCCCATTTTAGATCAATTTTAACGTAAGATTCGGTGTATTTCTAAACAACGAAACTGATTTGGCTTTGACAATTCATTTTCACTTACCGAATACAGAATAAGGGCTACTCGTCAACAGTTTGGTTAGTTTATGGCCTGAATTATGCTCAAAATTCTATTTTGCATCGCCTTAGAGGGACATGAAGTGTTTGGCCAAATTCTTCTCAACTGATTTTGATAATTGGGTGACTAAAGTAAACAGTAGTACAGGGGTGGAAGTTATGTAAGAAGGCAGGTGACTATACTGAAATTTTGAAAAATGGCCATTTTGAGTTGTAATTGTAACATCAATTTTGGCCAAACTCTAGCGCCAGGCTCCTCTCTGTGCAATACCTTGAAGATAAAGTTTCATGCATAAACTGAAAGCTCTATTATAGTAGAGTACATGGTCAAATTCATTTGATAGCACAATTTACAAGTGGGGTCTTATGGCACTTTCAAAATTCTCCCTGGAAGGCCAAAAATGAGACCCCCCTGTAACTCCAAAACTAAAAGTCAGAGAAGTGAGCCAAAGTGGCTTTCGAAGTATCTCATCACACCCAACTTCTGTGCCAAGTTTCAGCCAAATCGGTTGACCACAACTTTTGGCCCCTGGAACAATTTCTCAGACAATGACACTTTAGAGAGCTAGAGCGAAAGAAATCACCTTCAACAAAGATAAATGCGAATTCAATAAGGATAAGTGCCTGTATTATGGAATGGTGTTCTCGAAAGAAGGGGCCTCCCTTGATCCCATGAAGGTAGAGGCCATTAAACAGGCTGAGCCCCCACGCAACGCTAAAGAACTGAATTCGTTTCTGTCCACCGTCCAGTACAATGCAAGGTTCATGGAGAGTTACGCCCCACAAACCGATGTTCTGAGGGCACTGGTTAGAGCTGACGTTTTTAAGTGGGAAGAAAAACACCAGGAAGCATTCGAAGCTTTGAAGAATGCTCTAAGCGCTGATACAGTTTTAGCGTACTTTGATCCTGCCGCTGATCATGAAGTACATGTTGGTGGCTGTCCCCTGGGGATCTCGGCGACGTTAGTCCAGCGCAGTCCGAATGAAGACCATTGGAGAGTGGTACAGTATGCGAGCAGGGCGCTGTCAGACGCCGAGCGGAAATATTCCCAGATCGAACTGGAGACACTGGCCGCTGATTTCCTGCGTAGAAAGTTTCACGTCTTCCTGTATGGCAAGCCATTCATAGTTGTCACTGATCACAAGCCCTTGGAGGTCATTTTTAATAACCCGAGGCATGCAACGTCTATACGGTTGCAGAGAATGACTGTGCGAATGCTCGATTATGAGTTTAAGGTAGAATACAGGCCAGGGAAGACCAACATCTCAGACTACACATCAAGGCACCCCCTTCCTCTCGAGCAGAGCGGCAAAAGGGAGCTGGGCACGACTAAAGATGTCAGGCAATACGTGAATTTCGTAATTGAAAATGATATTCCAAAGGCGATAAGCAAGGAAGAAATAATCGTGTCAACGGGAAATGACAGGGAATTACAGAAATTGATTAAGTGTGTCGAAGAGAAGAGTATAGACAATAAAGACGCAGACTTGAGGAAGTACTCTAACGTTTTCAACGAACTGGCTGTAGTTGATGGGCTCGTTCTCCGCGGTGAACGCATTGTAGTGCCTCAGACACTCAGGGAAGCCATGGTTAAGATTGCTCACGAAGGCCACCAAGGGATTGTTCGTACAAAGCAGTTACTCCGTGCCCATGTGTGGTTTCCTGGGATGGACACAATGGTCGAAAAGCATGTAGGGAAATGCCTCGCTTGCCAATCTACCACGCCCTGTCACACCAGAGAGCCTCTACAGATGACAGATTTGCCAAGGGGTCCGTGGAAAAAAGTCAGTGTAGATTTCGCGGGGCCGTTACGAAAAAAGGACATGGCCTCGGTCTTTTGGGACCAGTATGCCAGGTATCCAGTGGTTGAGTTAACATCAAGTACTTCTGCTGATTACGTCATTCCCCTATTTACGCGCGTGTTCAACACGTACGGAATCCCCGAAGAGATCAAATCGGATAATGGGCCCCCGTTTAATGGATCAAAGTTTGCGAACTTTGCTCAGGAACAAGGGTTCAGACACCGAAAGGTCACCCCTGGGTAGGCTGAAGCTAATAGTGACGTGGAGCGTTTCATGCAAACCCTCAAGAAGAGTGCGAGAATTTCTAAACTTGAAGGAAAAGCTATTCGGAAGGGAGTGCAAAGAACGGTTGGCAGCTATCGCGCCACGCCCCACCCAGCGACAAAGGAAAGCCCTGACATGCTCATGTTGGGCAGAGAGCTGAGGAGGAAGCTACCGGAAAGGATCGTACCCGCAGGAGAAATTCCATACGACCCAATCAGACAAAGAGACGCGGCTAAAAAGAAGCACATGAAAGAGTACGCGTACAAGAGGCGGAACGCCCGGGAAAGCCTTAAAGTGGCTGGAAACCCAACTCCTTTTGAAGCAGAGCAAAGCAGATTTTCTCACCCCAGCATTTAACCCCCGACCATTCTCAGTAATAGGCGTGAAAAGGAAGTATGATCACCGTGAAAAGGGGTAGGGAGATTACATCCCGGAATTCATCCAATTGTAAGTTGCTGAAGCACGCGGGGGAGGATGAGTACGTAGCTGTGGATTTGGACCAAGAAGGTCTGGATACAGTCCAGTGCGGAAGAAACTGAAACAGGAGCCAGGGAAGATTTGCGTTTGCAACCCGACAACCTCGGCGCATCCAGTGAGATGACAATTGGCGGTCCACGTAACGAGCCAGATGGTCCACCGACATCCCTTGGAGCGACGGAAACGGAGGGACATCAACCGCAGCCAGACGATACTGCAGTAAGCGGGCCAAGAAGATCAGCGCGTGGAAGAACGTCTACTTGGAACACTATTTACAGGGACTTTGAGCCACACTAGTAAAAAGGGGGGAGATGCAGTGTCGGGTCTCAAGGGACTTATAGGATAATTAGATGCGGAAACAGCGTTAACACGCTAAGAAAAGAGTGACTGGATTTGCATATAGGACAGTGGTGAACGGACTAGTAATGTAACTAGGGTATAATGTAACCGTTTATTGAGCTCGATTCGCGACTTCACAGCTGCATACATAAGAAATGTAGGGGTTTGAATGCAAATAGTACCACAACATAATTCAAGCTTTAGGCATTCATGGATGCATAGGACCATTTGATACTGTGTTTGTCACTTATTGATTCCAGCAAGTTTTCTCCTTTCTAGTAAGTACTCATGGTTTTAGGTGTCGGCTACTAAATGTAGTCTTTTCTTTTCTTTTTTTTTTCTATAGAAAGCACTCAAAAGTGTTTAGAATAAAAACAACTGCAACAAGTTGAAGCTGTGTATAGCTTCTTGTTTGTGTCTTATTTCTTGTACCTCCACTTCTCAGTGAAAGCCTATAATTAACTCACTTTCTGCATTGTATGGTGAAACCTGTATTAAGCAGACACCCTGTATTCAGCAGTCAAATAGCTCAAAATGTGTTAAAACGTTTCTTCCCAACAAACCTGTACTTAGCGGACATCTCTAATAAGCAGACACCAGCGAAGGTTGTGTGGATGTCCGCCTAATTGTACAGGTTTTTTTTATTTATATCCACCTTATATGCAAAAAAAAAAATTGTAAAAAGAAGGATGAGTGAGGGTGCCAACAGAGAAGAACTGGATCGTTATGCAAGGCCGACCCCCCCCCCCTCCCCGAAGATATACTATCAATTACAACATGTGAAGGTTTCAGAGTACATCATTTTTATGTTGTATGTCTTTCACTGTCTGCAAACTTTTCTGTTGTTTTCTGACACGTTAAATTGACAGAACAATAATACTAGCAATCATAACTTCTCTTTTCAGATGTCTCATGACCTTGCCACGCGTGGACTGATAGTGGGTAAAATAATGTACAAGTTTGACAAACAGTGCAGGTTCTATATTTTGGGCCAAGGGAGCACTTATTTATTTATTTATTTTTCATAATTTTGTTAAAATATGTGGCTGCCGATGCATTTGGGATTTGAAATTTGAGGAATACTGGGAAGAGTGTGACCAACCGAGTGACACATGTTATTATACACACTACATTGATATTAATATTTGTCTCCTTCTAGATGCTTTCCTTAACATTACCTCTTTCAAGCCATGGCATGAATACATTTAGAAACATTGGTTGTCACACACTATGTTTTATTGCTCCAGAATGTCTCTCTCAACCCATCCGCATAAATTGGTTAACTCACCTTGGTACCACACCTTTTAGATGAGTTTTCTAAAGAAACTTGACCTAATTAAGAGGTCCAGGTGTTACCAAAGGAAGTTCTTATTGATTTTTATTTTAAAGTGATACTGCCATTTTTAACTAAAGCCTTCCTTAATGAAGGTTATATCCTCAAATACTGATCAGTTTAACAGCCTCAATTTCTTGTGATGTCTTAGTGGTTGCATGAGGCCTGATCAATCATTGTCCAGGCCAACATGTGGGTTTAGATTATTTAAAGGGAAAGATTGGGGTCTCATGGTGGATGCCTTAAAATCAAAAGATTACACAAACTTGTTCTGCCTGCAGACTCGACTTCAAGACCATTAGGATGCAACATTAATATTTCAGTAAAATCAATCTGGTTAAACATGTTGAAATGCAAAAAGGTGTTCACTTAACTATTGTCTGTGCTATACAGTACGTGGTCCTTGGTCCGCGCAAGTCGGCGATACCCTTGGTCCACGACTTTTCCGAAAATGATAAAATATTTCGTCTAGAAAAAAAATACGTTGAATAATAAAAGATATCGTGATTTACTGATTAGCATTCTTTCATATGACGAAGTTTCGGCTTTCTTGCTGTGGGTGAAGACGCGAAGTTAAAGTTTGTTGACAGGTAGTTTAATTTGTCTTTCTTCAAGTTTGGATTTTTGCGGCACCGTATATTACATGGTAATGTTTACTTAGCCTGCGAATAAGTAAAACGCAACTGAAAGACTTGCCTTTTTGCAGAACAGGTTTTCAGATCAACTTATTTCTGCTTTTGGAAGCATATTGCTGTAGACTCTGAATGTTTTGTTTTATCGACTCTTGAAAAATGTCACCAAATTTCGCTCAGTGGTCCTTGGTCCGCGACCAATGACCTTGGTTGAACAAAACTTCCCAAAATAGAAAGCGACGGCCTTTGTTTTCGAAGAATGTTTTGAAAATCGTACCTGTACATGTCTACAAGTTCTCTTTTTTAATACCTCGAATACATGCAGAGTTTTGGTAATTATTTTCGACCGCGCTGAAACCGCTCGTCGACGCTCGTGTGGGAGACTCGAGGAGACTGTTGTCTGAAGTCTTTGAAAAAAAAGCAGATTATTTTACACTCACAACATCTTCTGAAAAAAACTCTAGCGTAAGGTGGCTCGACTGGATTTTTTGGGGTTGTTTCCTCTCCAGTTTGAGCATAAACTACGTCGGCATAAGTAAAGATATGGAAAAAAGGTTACCACAGCTGCATTACATAAAGATGAAAATTTCTTATGATTTGGGTTTTATTGCAATCGGAGTCGCCATGGCAACGTAATGACGCCTTTACGTTTTTCATTTATCTTTGTGTTTCTCTGTACCAGGAGTTTTTTGGAGAAATCGCTTAAAGGAGTATGTACCTGCCATAATTGCCTCCATTATGGCAAAGTTTGAACAAATTCTATGAGAGCGTTTTCGAAATATTTTGAAATGCAGTTTTAAGAATCATAAAAACAGTGAAATAGCGTGCTAGCCACACAATTCGCTGATATTTTAAGAAAATGATAAGCTTTGAGAACGCGGCTTCATCTCATAGTCGTTTGATTCCATTGAAAACTGCATAAAAAAAAGAGGGGAATTGCTCTGGGCTTTATGTAATACAGCTGTGGTAACCTTTTCTCCATATCTTTACTCATGCCGACGTAGTTAATGTTCAAACTGGGGAGGTATCAACCCAAAAAATCCAGTCGAGCCACCTTAATTGCATCAAGAAAAGAAAAAAAATACATGAAATACTGTGAAAATCACGTTTTCGTGTGGAAACTATAACATTTTTACGTTGTTTTCGTGCTGCTTACCTGAGACGCGGACCAAGGACCATTGAAAATGGTCGCCTTTTTTCGAATTCCAAGCAAAATATTTATATCTGGAACTTGAAACTTCAGGATTATCGATAGGAACATAAAAGCTATCTTCAGGGAGTATTTCAGCTCGTTCCGTGAAGATTCGGGTAAGATATTCAAGTTAATGACTTTTAGACGCGGATCAAGGACCACATACTGTACTTCTGAGTGGTTTCAAGAAAACTTTGCAAAGGAGCATGTACGTGAATCCTTATACCAACATCTTATATGAGTCTGAATAAAACAGATATGCCATGTGAGGAACGTGAAATTAATATGTAAACTTTTCTTGGCTATTGTTTGCAATTCTTATGATTGGTCGAAACCTATTAACACAATGAAAATACCCCTTAACAAGCAAATCTTTACGAAAACTCGAGATTTCAATTAAACACGAATGAGAAAACTACAGGGAAACAACTGCGCCTTACCTCGAGAAACCGAACCGCCATTATGCACTTACGAAGGACAACACAAGCTGCACAAGAAACCTCTTTCCCTTACTTAGAAAAATACTTGAACCCTTTATAGGTTTTTTCCTTCCAAGGCTGTCAACAGAAAATAGGTCCACACAGTCGCTTGTACGGTCGTCTTTGTAGGACCCGCCATTTTGTGTTCAACGCTTATCCGGGCCGCAATGCTACTTGTCCTCTTTCCAGCTGTTCCAACAAAAACGATAGTCATGCGGTCGCTATAACAATAATTCTACAATTGCTTGTAAAGGAACCGTTTGTTTAGAAGTTTTAGCCAGTTCTTCGTTCCCTCCACTTAAGACGCCACTTTTTTCATTTCTTGACCGCGCCTTGCTTTGGCGCGCTAAATCTTCCGGAAGTCAACTAGTTTACCGAAAACTGCTTTCGCATGGTCCGCATAGTTCTAAAAATAACATTTTTGAAACTAAGATATCCCAAAGGTGTGACTGGGAGACTCCCTCTCTGTCCTACTTAGGCTCTTGTTAAAAGATAATTTTAACTGGTGAAATATGTTGAAAACCTTCTTTAATGCACTTACCGAGAACTGAAAAGGCTAATCGTAGTAACAACGTTGTCGTATCAACAAGGGGATTCAAAACATTTGTTTCAGAAAAAGAAGTATGGATTATCTGTAGAATACCCTATCAATTAATTATAAAAAAAGTGGTCAACTGAGTATAATTTAAAGTAGTATTTTTTTCTCTGGGTATCCGCAAAAAAGCCTATAAAAGAAAGACAAGTACTGCAAAACTAGAATGACTACCAACCGAAGTATCCAAATCCTGTTGTCGCACCTTCTTCAGGTCCGTCGCCATAATTGTAAGAATACTGTTCATACTTCTTCTGATCATCAAATACTTTATCTAAACACGAGAAAAATTCAAAGCATAATTTTGCAAGTCCTTTATAAATTCGCACAATTATGCAGTTAATTTTTCACAATCAAAATAAAACTGATTATTATTCTTCTGATCGTCAAATCCTTTAAAAAAAAAAATTCAAATCATAAGCTTCTTGGGTCGTGTTATTATTAAAAGGTAATTTTAACTGGTGAAATATGCTGAAAACCTTCGTTAATGCACTTACTGAGAACTGAAAAGACTAATCGTAATAATAACGTTGTCGTATCAACAGGGTTTCAAAACATTTTTATCACAAAAAGAAGTATACATTATCTGTAGAATACCCTATCAATTAATTATTAAAGTGGTCAACTAAGTATAATTTAAAGTAGTATTTTTTTCTCTGGGTATCCGCAAAAAAGCCTATAAAAGAAAAACAAGTAGGGCAAAAATGGAATGACTACTAACCGAAGTATCCAAATCCTGTTGTCGAACATTCTTCAGGTCCGTCGCCATAATTGTAAGAATACTGTTCATACTTCTTCTGATCATCAAATACTTTACCTAAACACGAGAAAAATTCAAAGCAAGCATAATTTTGCAAGTCCTTTGTATATTCGCACATTGTGCAGCTAATTTTTCATAATCAAGATAAAACTGGTTAATACTTCTTCTGATCTTCAAATCCTTTATTTTAACACGACAAAAATTCAAAACATGAGCTTCCTGGGTCGTGTTATTATTAAAAGCTAATTTCAACTGGTGAAATATGCTGAAAACCTTCGTTAATACAATTACAGAGAACTGAAAAGACTAATCGTAATCACAACCTTGTCGTATCAACAAGGTTTCAAAACATTTTTATCACAAAAAGAAGTATGGATTATCTGTAGAATACCCTATCAATTAATTATTAAAGTGGTCAACTAATAATAATTTAAAGTAGTATTTTCTTCTCTGGGTATCCGCAAAAAAGCCTATAAAAGAAAGACAATTAGGGCAAAAATGGAATGACTACCAACCGAAGTATCCAAATCCTGTTGTCGCACATTCTTCAGGTCCGTCGCCATAATTGTAAGAATACTGTTCATACGTCTTCTGATCATCAAATACTTTATCTAAACACGAGAAAAATTCAAAGCATAATTTTGCAAGTCCTTTATAAATTCGCACATTGTGCAGTTAATTTTTCCCAATCGAGATAAAACTGATTATTCTTCTTCTGATCTTCAAATCCTTAAAAAAAAAAAAAAATTCAAAGTATAAGCATCTTGGGTCGTGTTATTATTAAAAGATAATTTTAACTGGTGAAATTTGCTGAAAACCTTCGTTAATGCACTTACTGAGAACTGAAAAGACTAATCGTAATAACAACGTTGTCGTATCAACAAGGTTTCAAAACATTTTTATCAGAAAAAGAAGTATAGATTATCTGTAGAACACCCTACCAATTAATTATTAAAGTGGTCAACTAACTATAATTTAAAGTAGTATTTTTTTCTCTGGGTATCCGCAAAAAAGCCTATAAAAGAAAAACAAGTACTGCAAAACTGGAATGACTACCAACCGAAGTATCCAAATCCTGTTGTCGCACATTCTTCGGGTCCGTCGCCATAATTGTAAGAATACTGTTCATACTGCTTCTGATCATCAAATCCTTTATCTAAACACCAGAAAAATTGAAAGCATAATTTTGCAAGTCCTTTATGTATTCGCACATTGTGCAGCTAATCTTTCATAATCGAGATAAAACTGATTAATGCTTCTTCTGATCTTCAAATCCTTTATTTCAACACGACAAAAATTCAAAACATGACCTTCTTGGGTCGTGTTATTATTAAAAGATAATTTCAACTGGTGAAATATGCTGAAAACCTTCGTTAATACACTTACAGAGAACTGAAAAGACTAATCGTAATCACAACCTTGTCGTATCAACAAGGTTTCAAAACATTTTTATCACAAAAAGAAGTATGGATTATCTGTAGAATACCCTATCAATTAATTATTAAAGTGGTCAACCAATAATAATTTAAAGTAGTATTTTCTTCTCTGGGTATCCGCAAAAAAAGCCTATAAAAGAAAGACAATTAGGGCAAAAATGGAATGACTACCAACCGAAGTATCCAAATCCTGTTGTCGCACATTCTTCAGGTCCGTCGCCATAATTGTAAGAATACTGTTCATACGTCTTCTGATCATCAAATACTTCATCTAAACACGAGAAAAATTCAAAGCATAATTTTGCAAGTCCTTTATAAATTCGCACATTGTGCAGTTAATTTTTCACAATCGAGATAAAACTGATTATTCTTCTTCTGATCTTCAAATCCTTAAAAAAAAAAAAATTCAAAGTATAAGCTTCTTGGGTCGTGTTATTATTAAAAGATAATTTTAACTGGTGAAATTTGCTGAAAACCTTCGTTAATGCACTTACTGAGAACTGAAAAGACTAATCGTAATAACAAGGTTAATCGTATCAACAAGGTTTCAAAACATTTCTATCAGAAAAAGAAGTATAGATTATCTGTAGAACACCCTACCAATTAATTATTAAAGTGGTCAACTAAGTATAATTTAAAGTAGTATTTTTTTCTCTGGGTATCCGCAAAAAAGCCTATAAAAGAAAAACAAGTACTGCAAAACTGGAATGACTACCAACCGAAGTATCCAAATCCTGTTGTCGCACATTCTTCGGGTCCGTCGCCATAATTGTAAGAATACTGTTCATACTGCTTCTGATCATCAAATCCTTTATCTAAACACCAGAAAAATTGAAAGCATAATTTTGCAAGTCCTTTATGTATTCGCACATTGTGCAGCTAATCTTTCATAATCGAGATAAAACTGATTAATGCTTCTTCTGATCTTCAAATCCTTTATTTCAACACGACAAAAATTCAAAACATGACCTTCTTGGGTCGTGTTATTATTAAAAGATAATTTCAACTGGTGAAATATGCTGAAAACCTTCGTTAATACACTTACAGAGAACTGAAAAGACTAATCGTAATCACAACCTTGTCGTATCAACAAGGTTTCAAAACATTTTTATCACAAAAAGAAGTATGGATTATCTGTAGAATACCCTATCAATTAATTATTAAAGTGGTCAACTAATAATAATTTAAAGTAGTATTTTCTTCTCTGGGTATCCGCAAAAAAGCCTATAACAGAAAAACAAGTACTGCAAAACTGGAAGGACTACTAACCGAAGTATCCAAATCCTGTTGTCGCACATTCTTCGGGTCCGTCGCCATAATTGTAAGAATACTGCTCATACTTCTTCTGATCATCAAATCCTTTATCTTAACACCAGAAAAATTGAAAGCATAATTTTGCAAGTCCTTTATGTATTCGCACATTGTGCAGCTAGTTTTTCATAATCAAGATAAAAGTGGTTAATACTTCTTCTGATCTTCAAATCCTTTATTTTAACACGACAAAAATTCAAAACATGAGCTTCCTGGGTCGTGTTATTATTAAAAGATAATTTCAACTTGTGAAATATGCTGAAAACCTTCGTTAATACAATTACAGAGAACTGAAAAGACTAATCGTAATCACAACCTTGTCGTATCAACAAGGTTTCAAAACATTTTTATCACAAAAAGAAGTATGGATTATCTGTAGAATACCCTATCAATTAATTATTAAAGTGGTCAACTAATAATAATTTAAAGTAGTATTTTCTTCTCTGGGTATCCGCAAAAAAGCCTATAAAAGAAAGACAGTTAGGGCAAAAATGGAATGACTACCAACCGAAGTATCCAAATCCTGTTGTCGCACATTCTTCAGGTCCGTCGCCATAATTGTAAGAATACTGTTCATACGTCTTCTGATCATCAAATACTTTATCTAAACACGAGAAAAATTCAAAGCATAATTTTGCAAGTCCTTTATAAATTCGCACATTGTGCAGTTAATTTTTCCCAATCGAGATAAAACTAATTATTCTTCTCCTGATGTTCAAATCCTTAAAAAAAAAAAATTCAAAGTATAAGCTTCTTGGGTCGTGTTATTATTAAAAGATAATTTTAACTGGTGAAATTTGCTGAAAACCTTCGTTAATGCACTTACTGAGAACTGAAAAGACTAATCGTAATAACAACGTTGTCGTATCAACAAGGTTTCAAAACATTTTTATCAGAAAAAGAAGTATAGATTATCTGTAGAACACCCTACCAATTAATTATTAAAGTGGTCAACTAACTATAATTTAAAGTAGTATTTTTTTCTCTGGGTATCCGCAAAAAAGCCTATAAAAGAAAAACAAGTACTGCAAAACTGGAATGACTACCAACCGAAGTATCCAAATCCTGTTGTCGCACATTCTTCGGGTCCGTCGCCATAATTGTAAGAATACTGTTCATACTTCTTCTGATCATCAAATCCTTTATCTAAACACCAAAAAAATTGAAAGCATAATTTTGCAAGTCCTTTATGTATTCGCACATTGTGCAGCTAATCTTTCATAATCGAGATAAAACTGATTAATGCTTCTTCTGATCTTCAAATCCTTTATTTCAACACGACAAAAATTCAAAACATTAGCTTCTTGGGTCGTGTTATTATTAAAAGATAATTTCAACTGGTGAAATATGCTTAAAACCTTCGTTAATACACTTACAGAGAACTGAAAAGACTAATCGTAATCACAACCTTGTCGTATCAACAAGGTTTCAAAACATTTTTATCACAAAAAGAAGTATGGATTATCTGTAGAATACCCTATCAATTAATTATTAAAGTGGTCAACTAATAATAATTTAAAGTAGTATTTCTTCTCTGGGTATCCGCAAAAAAAGCCTATAAAAGAAAGACAATTAGGGCAAAAATGGAATGACTACCGACCGAAGTATCCAAATCCTGTTGTCGCACATTCTTCAGGTCCGTCGCCATAATTGTAAGAATACTGTTCATACGTCTTCTGATCATCAAATACTTCATCTAAACACGAGAAAAATTCAAAGCATAATTTTGCAAGTCCTTTATAAATTCGCACATTGTGCAGTTAATTTTTCACAATCGAGATAAAACTGATTATTCTTCTTCTGATCTTCAAATCCTTAAAAAAAAAAAAATTCAAAGTATAAGCTTCTTGGGTCGTGTTATTATTAAAAGATAATTTTAACTGGTGAAATTTGCTGAAAACCTTCGTTAATGTACTTACTGAGAACTGAAAAGACTAATCGTAATAACAACGTTGTCGTATAAACAAGGTTTCAAAACATTTTTATCAGAAAAAGAAGTATAGATTATCTGTAGAACACCCTACCAATTAATTATTAAAGTGGTCAACTAAGTATAATTTAAAGTAGTATTTTTTTCTCTGGGTATCCGCAAAAAAGCCTATAAAAGAAAAACAAGTACTGCAAAACTGGAATGACTACCAACCGAAGTATCCAAATCCTGTTGTCGCACATTCTTCGGGTCCGTCGCCATAATTGTAAGAATACTGTTCATACTTCTTCTGATCATCAAATCCTTTATCTAAACACCAGAAAAATTGAAAGCATAATTTTGCAAGTCCTTTATGTATTCGCACATTGTGCAGCTAATCTTTCATAATCGAGATAAAACTGATTAATGCTTCTTCTGATCTTCAAATCCTTTATTTTAACACGACAAAAATTCAAAACATGAGCTTCCCGGGTCGTGTTATTATTAAAAGATAATTTCAACTGGTGAAATATGCTGAAAACCTTCGTTAATACACTTACAGAGAACTGAAAAGACTAATCGTAATAACAACGTTGTCGTATCAACAAGGTTTCAAAACATTTTTATCAGAAAAAGAAGTATATATTATCTGTAGAACACCCTACCAATTAATTATTAAAGTGGTCAACTAAGTATAATTTAAAGTAGTATTTTTTTCTCTGGGTATCCGCAAAAAAGCCTATAAAAGAAAGACAAGTACTGCAAAACTAGAATGACTACCAACCGAAGTATCCAAATCCTGTTGTCGCACATTCTTCAGGTCCGTCGCCATAATTGTAAGAATACTGTTCATACTTCTTCTGATCATCAAATCCTTTATCTAAACACCAAAAAAATTGAAAGCATAATTTTGCAAGTCCTTTATGTATTCGCACATTGTGCAGCTAATCTTTCATAATCGAGATAAAACTGATTAATGCTTCTTCTGATCTTCAAATCCTTTATTTTAACACGACAAAAATTCAAAACATGAGCTTCCCGGGTCGTGTTATTATTTAAAGATAATTTCAACTGGTGAAATATGCTGAAAACCTTCGTTAATACACTTACAGAGAACTGAAAAGACTAATCGTAATCACAACCTTGTCGTATCAACAAGGTTTCAAAACATTTTTATCACAAAAAGAGGTATGGATTATCTGTAGAATACCCTATCAATTAATTATTAAAGTGGTCAACTAATAATAATTTAAAGTAGTATTTTTTTCTCTGGGTATCCGAAAAAAAGTCTTAAAAAGAAAAACGAGTAGGGCAAAAATGGAATGACTACCAACCGAAGTATCCAAATCCTGTTGTCGCACATTCTTCAGGTCCGTCGCCATAATTGTAAGAATACTGTTCATACTTCTTCTGATCATCAAATACTTTATCTAAACACGAGAAAAATTCAAAGCATAATTTTGCAAGTCCTTTATAAATTCGCACATTGTGCAGTTAATTTTTCCCAATCGAGATAAAACTAATTATTCTTCTTCTGATCTTCAAATCCTTAAAAAAAAAAAATTCAAAGGATAAGCTTCTTGGGTCGTGTTATTATTAAAAGATAATTTTAACTGGTGAAATTTGCTGAAAACCTTCGTTAATGCACTTACTGAGAACTGAAAAGACTAATCGTAATAATAACGTTGTCGTATCAAAAGGGTTTCAAAACATTTTTATCAGAAAAAGAAGTATAGATTATCTGTAGAACACCCTACCAATTAATTATTAAAGTGGTCAACTAAGTATAATTTAAAGTAGTATTTTTTTCTCTGGGTATCCGCAAAAAAGCCTATAACAGAAAAACAAGTACTGCAAAACTGGAATGACTACTAACCGAAGTATCCAAATCCTGTTGTCGCACATTCTTCGGGTCCGTCGCCATAATTGTAAGAATACTGTTCATACTTCTTCTGATCATCAAATCCTTTATCTAAACACCAGAAAAATTGAAAGCATAATTTTGCAAGTCCTTTATGTATTCGCACATTGTGCAGCTAATCTTTCATAATCGAGATAAAACTGATTAATGCTTCTTCTGATCTTCAAATCCTTTATTTTAACACGACTAAAATTCAAAACATGAGCTTCTTGGGTCGTGTTATTATTAAAAGATAATTTCAACTGGTGAAATATGCTGAAAACCTTCGTTAATACACTTACAGAGAACTGAAAAGTCTAATCGTAATCACAACCTTGTCGTATCAACAAGGTTTCAAAACATTTTTATCACAAAAAGAAGTATGGATTATCTGTAGAATACCCTATCAATTAATTATTAAAGTGGTCAACTAATAATAATTTAAAGTAGTATTTTCTTCTCTGGGTATCCGCAAAAAAGCCTGTAAAAGAAAGACAGTTAGGGCAAAAATGGAATGACTACCAACCGAAGTATCCAAGTCCTGTTGTCGCACATTCTTCAGGTCCGTCGCCATAATTGTAAGAATACTGTTCATACTTCTTCGGATCATCAAATACTTTATCTAAACACGAGAAAAATTCAAAGCATAATTTTGCAAGTCCTTTATAAATTCGCACATTATGCAGTTAATTTTTCATAATAGAGATAAAACTGATTATTTTTCTTCTGATCTTCAAATCCTTAAAAAAAAGAAAATTCAAAGCATAAGCTTCTTGGGTCGTGTTATTATTAATTATTTATTTAAAATAGTTGTTAAGTTATCGTGATATTTCTTTGTTTTCTTTCATTTTTCTCTTCCCTAATCCCTTCTTTTGTTTCTTTCTTTTCTATTTGAGTGCGGGTGAGTGTTTGTGTGTTATTTCTTATAACTATTTGTTGTAAATATAATTGCAAACTATTATTATCTCGCCTAGAATAGCATTTTTGCTAATTGTGTGGACAAGACAACTGTAACTTGTTGCATGAAATTCATTAAAGACTGTTTTTGTTGTTGTTGTTGTTGTGGAGTGTTACAAAATAGATACCAGTTCCCGCGCAAGAAACACTGAACACATGAGATCGAGGCAAAATGTGCTAGCGGGTGCAAGATGGCGCCAAACCGTGAAATCGGATGGCATCCACATCGCATATTTAAATAGTAAGTGTTCTCCTTTGTCAAACGCAATAAAAAATGCACCTCTACAAAAACTTCCAAGGGCTGTGCATTCTGCATCCAAAAAACTAGCCTGCGAGCAAGCTCTCCTATTTGGGCGAGTGAAACGAGTCTCGCGAGAACGCGCGAGCGAGCGGCGAAGCTTTCCTCGGCCCCTCGCTCGCGCGTTCTCGCGAGGTTCGCTTCGCTTGCCCAAATAAAAGTGCTTGCTCGCAGGCTACCAAAAAACCGAATTTCTGAAGATCATTGTGGCCTTTTATTAATTCTTAAAGTTGCAATGCGGATGCGTTAATTACTCTCATAATAATATACACGAAAAAATTACTCAATTCTGATTGGCTGAGAAAGGAGTGCAGCTCTTCTGTAACACGAGTGCAAAATCTGTAACACGAGTGCAAACTTGTAACACGAGTGCAAATTACAAATGCTTTCTGATTGGGTGAAAACACAAAAGAAACCAACAAGAACCAATCAGATTAAAGCTGTTTTAACAAAAAAAAATCAAGAAAATGGCCATGGTTTGCAGCAGATTTAATTTTGTAAGCAAAACAACAATAGAAAAGTTAAAAAAATATTCCAAAAACCCGAACACAGTAAAAAGTACGTCTTTCTGGCTAAATGTATTGAAAATGCGTTGCTAAGAGAAAAATACTGTCAACAAAATCGAGGAAAATGAGCCAGAGAAACTAAAAAACAAGCTATTTATAACAGACTACGCTAAAGTAAAAAAATAAAGAACAAAAACGGTTGCAACCACACGCAAACCATGACAGCTACACTCTTAAATGAACAAGGATACAATTCCATGATAACAACAGGGATTTCAAGTCATGTACGTTATTTGTTGCTCTCTCTGAGTCTTTTGTGGAGCGAAGACCTCTATTAAAACATCTATGCGATGGTCTCTTTTTTTTCTACCTCAGTAACAAACGAAACCGAAAATTTAAACATCTGATTCAAACTAAACCAATGGGCGAAAATACCATAACTCACATAATTAAAGTATCCGTAGCTGGTACTAGCCTTAAAGAAAGTGAGAAAAAAGTTTATGAAGCATTGTACAAGAAAAACAACAGTCAGGAAGGTGAAGAAAGCAAAGATTGTAAATTCAGAACACATCGTCAGTGTCACAGGCCACGGAGGCATAAATTTCCTTAACGTCTACGATGAAGCCGAAGAAGAGCTACGATGACTCTTGAAGTAGGCCAAATGAAGTAATGGAAACTCCAGCGCTGAGAAAAAGCAAACATTATATTAATACTGGTAGTTTCCGACATCACAACAACTGTGGCTCCACTCACCAATCGATGGCGGCGTCGAAAGAAAACAAATTGCCTCCTTCATTTTCGGGTTTGAAATCTCAAAAATTTCTGCATGAATCCAGCTATGATGGGGTCTCAGGAACAGACAATGATGAACAGTCGTTAAAAAACTTTCACAAGTGTCTTTCATCTCTGGCTGCTCGAAGCGTTCTCCTGATTTCAAAACAGCAGTATACTTCTTGAAAACGCTTCTTGTAAATGCCGAGTTCTCATAATCGAGGATGAATTTAAAACCACTTACTTTTGCTGATTATTGTAAACCTAGTTATCTTTAACAGGCTGGTGACCATATAAAAAAATCCTTGCACATTTCCAAGTTCTTAGCTGAATGATTTTGAAAGCATTGGTCTTGAAAAAGTTTGAATTTGACAAAGGTAGTAGGCTGTTTCAGCCAATCAGTTGAATGAACCAAAAACGCGCGCGCTGTCAAAATTTGTTGTTGTAGTTATGTTTTTCGTGTATATTATTAATAAGTAATCACATGATTTTTCTCGTGCAATTTGGAATAAATAAGCACTTGTAAATTTTTCAAAGACCACAAAGTGCACTCGCCCTACGGGCTCGTGCACTTTTGTTGGTCTTTGAATAAATTTACTCGTGCTTATTTATTCCAAATTGCACTCGAAATCATGTGATTACCTATACAAAAGGAACAGTGTCATCCAGGACCAAAGTCATATGGCACAATACTTAATTAATATCACAAGGGCCCTGATTGGTAAGAATTCTCCTGATAAAGTGACAACAACGGTGAGAGGGACGTTTCTCTTATAAGACAGACCTTTAATTGGAACTGACGATGCATTTCTTGCAGCCATCGTCATTCTTCCTCTACTCATTCTCCCGACGGAAACGTACCGACGAGCAAGGAGTTTGATCCGCAAAACACCAACTCAGGAGGAATCTTGTTCTCTGTAATCATCTTGTTAATGTCAGTGAGAAATGTAAGTTTACATTCTTCAAACATCCCTCTGGGAACTGGAGGACGAGTGGTTGTTCCAGCTCGGCTGGTAAAATTGCAGCGCCTATAAATGGACTTCACCCAAGTCACTGTAGGCTCAAATTCTCTATTAAATATGGCGTCTTATTACTATCAACAAGCGCCAGCGCTTTTTCTTTCTTGACACAGAAATTAATTACCTCACCGCTGCTTCTAATGCTCTTAAGAAGAGAGATTATTTTACTGTCCAGTTCACGGAGTATTGATGGCCGCCCACGGGTGTCACTCAGGGTAGCAATGACAGTCACGTCTGTGTTACCTTTTTTCTTCTCCTCGCGTAGTCTCTGCTGATAAGCCTGCTTGAAAGTTCTTACAGTACTTTCCCTTAATGTTGGGAGTTCCTCCTTGAAATGATTGATGGCTTTCGAATTACCATTCTCACTGGCATATTTCCCAATCTTAGCGCGTTTTTCAGCCGAATAGTGTTGGTATTTTCCACGTTTTCTTGCTGCTAAGTAGCCGAGGAACCTTCAGTCGAGTGAGGATTCACCAAGCTCGCAGCGGACGATTCCCCTGCATGAATTCGACATTGCCCAAGGAAGTACTTTCTTGGCTTGGAAAGTAGACCGGACAGCAGGCTGAATTTCTTCAGAGGCATCAGAATTGTTTGGACGTTCCGTTACTTTTTTCTTTTGAACCGTAAAACCGCAACGAAACAAGGACATTTTACCAAAGACACTTAAACCAGAATGTGGCGCGTCTTCGTAGCGCTGTAACGCCAATAAAGGGAACAGGAAGACTATTGTGTACTGTTTGTTGTTAGTTTCCAATCTCAGTTTACAGATACCACGTGTTACCTTTAGCTGTCACAATACAATGAACTGCAACAGAGGAACAGCAAACACACCAGATTGAAATGGTGAGGAGAGATCACAGTGGGTCTATCAAGTATTCACTATTTCGGTCTCCGCGGGTTTCACGTTTATAAAAAGGTTTGGAGTCCGATTGTTGGAGAGCAATTGAAATGTTGCTACGAGAGAAATACAGTGAAACCTCTATTAAGCGGACACTAAGCCAGGTCCCGAAATTAACGTCTTATATTTCCCTTTATAACGAACCCCCTTTTCAGCGGATACCTCTATTAAGCGGACGCGGACACTAAAATAAGGGCCTGTTTACATGGAGTGGGAGACCCCGGTCTAGTGAGGTAGGTTTCTTTTGTTTTGTGTCCCCCAGAGCGTGAAAACAAAAGAAACCAACCCCACTAGACCGGGGTCCCCCACTCCATGTAAACAGGCCCTAAGGTGTATTTGGCTAATTTCTATTGTTAAAACCCCTATTAAGTGGACACCGGACTGAATTAATAATAGTAGTACTTGGTTACGTCCTTGAAATACAGACTGAAGTCAGTTAATGTTTTTGCATTTACAAACAAATTAAAGTAGGTAATGAAAAGTAATGAACTTGAACTCTGGGCGGCTTCTTTAACAACATGCAACTTTATCACAGTACAGAGTAACCGTTGAATGTTGATCGTTAACAAACATTGCGCAATTTTTACAACCTCTATTAAGCGGACACCCTCTATTAAGCGGACACTTGGGAAGGTCCGAAGGTGTCCGCGTAATACAGGTTTCACTGTAACTGTTACGATAGCTATGCTATTGCCGCGAACAAGCGCCTTTGAGGCCGTCTTACCGACTCTATAGTTGGTCACTTGCCCAGAAATTTCCAGAGCAACACGCTTTTTCCTACGCAGAGTAGGGGTTGTTTGTGCTAAAGTCATCGAAAAGAACCATAGAACATCCCCCCTTGTGCAAAGATGATTGGAAATTCCTGTAAAAATTACAGCTGGGATGGATCTTACCGAAAGGAACATCTGTAGGCATGCCATAGACTTTTACACATTAAACACAATACGTAGACATGTGTTTCTTCATTAAATTGAGAAAACAAGAAATATAGGAGGGTATTAAATTTCGCGACATTAAAGTTCGCGGGAATTTTTTTTCGCGTCGCTTTGACTAAATTAGTACCAATTAGGTATGTGACAACAAAATTGCAGCTAAACTTTGACCCGGGCCAAGTGTTTTTTTTTTGGTTTGTTTGTTTTTTCCGGTGTGAAAATAGGGCTAAGGTGGTCCCCGCCGACCGTGTGACTCTACATCCGGGAACTTGTATAAGACCAGTGTAAGAGAAAAGTCCAGGGGTGTTTATTTGCCAATAGGCTGAGTTTTTACGAGTTATTCGATGATATTTCGCTTATGTTGAACGTGAGAGGATTATGCGTGGTTGTGGATAGTCTTATTAGTGCCGCGAAAGTGTGTGATTGTGTAATTTCCGCATGGTGTTGACAGGTATGTGATCGCGTGGTTGAACTGCGATTTCGCCAAAATATCCTGTGCTAGCCATCAAAATTGTTTCGTCGGTGTTTAGCTTAGCTGATTGTACCTTGGAAAAGAAACTCTCGACTCAGGAAAATTGGATCTAAGTCTAGTTTCAGCGGGCTCTTATGGCATTGAACCATAGGTCGGTTTTTGCAGATAAGAAGGTGATAATTTGTGCTTTATGTTTCATTCAGTTTGTTGTCTATTCCATGCCGAATCCTGTTGTTTATGGGACCGCGGAAAAAGTAGTGTTTTGCTAGCTATTTAAGTTGTTATGTAAGCCTTAACCAGGCACTCTTTCGCTGCAGTTCACTCAACTTAAGAATTTCTAGACTGAAATGACACCGATTTGAAACTTCGCGAAGTCAGATTACTGAACAAATGTTATAAATGTGCGTCATTTTAAATTGGACTCGTTGGAATGCTTCTAGGGACCATGAACTTACTACCCGGCGTCAGATAAAGGCTTTTAATCGGCCTTTGAACGAGTTTTGTTGCTTTAAATTGCCAAGTAGTAGAATGAGTTGATATTTTTGCTAACCCGGTTTTCAAAAATCCAGGTATATATCTGACTGGATTTGTTAAAACGTGGCTAAAGAAATTTCAAGTGCATTTGAACTAATTGACATCTAAGTGAAATGGGTAGCAGTTAAAAGTCACTAGCTAAAGCTAAACAATGAAAACATTATTGCTGGCAATAGACGGTAAAGTTCTCTCGCAGAAGTAACAGGAGTTTGCGATAAAATATACAACATTTGAAACGTCCTGAAATTGTAATCTTTTAGTCAGTCAAACCTTGACGCCCATATCTCAGTGTCGGCCGAAAACAGATTAAGAATCCACAATCTTTGAACACAAAATAGGCTTTCTAAGACAAAATCACCTAAACTAAACACTCAGGAAGCGTTTTCATGCTTGGCACAAAGTATTCTGGTAACACGAGCTCAACTGCACATACCTGAGATTTGTCTGTCAGCACTTTCGGTAAATCACACAATAAATGACTTACGCGGCAATGACAACACTTCCCAAAACCACTCACAATATCTCCACACTTAACACGGGCGAAACATCGTCAAATTACTCCGAAAAACCCTCGCTTTCTCCACATTAAATCGTCACATGGAACTTTTCTCGACTCACTGACAGTCGATTCATTCAAGATCCCGGATGTAAACCAGCGGTTGAAAAGGAGACGTACAGCCCCCGCCAATTGTTTACTAAGTCTTTGGCCTGGTCAGAAATCAGCATGAATTTCCATCTCGCTGACTAGATTTCAACCCTAGAACCTACTTTGTGAGGCCAAAGACTTGTTACTGACAACAGCAAAGCTCGCAATATCCAATCTTTCCGTCTCAAGCCCGGGATCAGTCTTTCACCCGTGTAGCCCGAAATGAGAAGAAATACGAGAAGATATTGGACGCAGCAGACTTTGCCAGACGTGAGAATTGTTCCTTCATAAGGCTTAATGATACCTTCCGGAAAATTTTGCTCAAGGCAGCCAAAAAACTCTAAGACAACCCACTATGCGAGCGAGTTAAGTGTTTTGGGGGGAAGGTTTGGGGGGGGGGGGGGAATAGGTTAATGCCAGTGAGAAACTCATCAAAGTTTATGTACTGTAGCCTATCCGGTACCGATGAAATAAATAAAAAGTAACCGGATGAAAAAATAAATACCTCTCTTGGTCAGAAGGCATATAAGAGAGATTTCTGTAGCAAATCCAGACAGATTTATATCTACATATTATTCTGAAATAGTGTCAAGATTAGGAAAGCAGGACGGCACAACCCCGCTACGACTTCCCAGAACCCCTCCCCCCTCCCAAGAAGAAAATGGAACGTATTTTATAAACTGGGCTGGCCACAGGCTGCCCAGTTAAATAGTGACACTGCGTACCGTGTTGACTTAGCCGTGTTAAGACTTAATTAACAACAACAACAACAACAAGACTCAAGACCCATCTAGGATGAGGGAGTATACCCCTCACCAACCCCCCCGCCCCACCCTTCCTCGAGCTTAACGGTCTATTTTCCAATTCGGAGCACACAAATAATCTGTACTCCAGGCACCAGTTGTTCAAGAGGTGGATAACGCTATCCACCGGATAAATCACTGTCCACTGGATAACGCAATTGGTTTCCCTAACACTTATCCGTTGGATAATTATTCATCCGGTGGATATAGCGCTATCCAACTTTAAAACAACTGGGGCCGGGACTTTTGTCGTGAGTTACCCCTTACTCGTTAGGTTGCTTCAACCTTTGTGAACTCGCTTGGGACGTCGTGCAGAAAAATGTCTCACCCTCGATCGCTACTCAATCAGCAGTTGAAAGATCGCAAGCGACGCTTAAGGTTATCAGTGAGTAGGACTGTCACGATTGTGCTCGTAAAGTGCTGGAACGTTGCTTACTGGAATTATGCCAAAAAGTTGCTACCTAAATTTTTATTCGTTACTACCTAAATTTCTCGATATTTTTATATAAATGTTAATTGGAAGCTCTATTTTCTTTTTTTACAATAATTGCTAACATCGGTCATGAAAAATAGCCTGACATTTAGCTTTAAAGAGTTTCTTGTAAATATGGGTGAAATTAAGGATACCCATGCAAGCTCACTATGGGAGCGCTGAACAACATTGCCCTACTTATATCACAGGCCTTCCAAGCACAATTTAGTATACAACGGGCAATTATAAAACTAACAATATGTGTGAGGTGTTGTGTTACCAGGTCACGTCGTTCAACGGAAGGATTGCATGGGCTCGCAAACAAAATGTGAGGTGTTGTGTTACAACGGTCGGTTCAAAGATTACAAAGTTAAATAACGTTAATTTTTTAATAAAAGTTAGCTTGCCTTCTTGCGATGTTGTTTTCCGCATATTTTATTCATACATTTAAGCCCCACTTCTGTGACAGCGTTTCCACTGCAGTGGAAACGCTGTGACATTAACAAATAGGTCATAAGGCATGCAAAGACATGCAAAGAGTTGTATTCAATTTTTGAAGAAAGGATCAGTTTACAAAAAAGAAGGACCGGATCCTAATAAAGGATCTAATCAGCAATAAGTGAAAATATAAAACAAAAGAAGCAAGGCTGGGCATTCCCACTGTAAAATCAGCCTTGCTTCTTTTGTTTTATAGATTTATATCAACACTGTTCACAAACTTACAGACGCCTATTCTGCCTCTTCCCCTCCTATGGGCCTGAATAATAAATGAACAGTAATTATGTTCAAGCGCATGAGAGTACTTGATTGCAGATCGAGAGGGTTACAAGTTTCCTACGCACAGTCAATACCTTACGAGCTTTGCGTGACGAGACAAAAACGGCTACGTAACGTAGGAGGCTAGAGTGTTATCCGGGCAACGAAGTTTTTCACGAACTTACCTTCAGTTCCATCATTATTTTCGGGGCCCTTCTCTTCATTGCCTTTTGTCTTCCCGCGAAACCGAACACTGGAGTCGTTGCCAGTCGCCTTCCCTCGTAACATGTCGTATTTAACCGAGCTCTGGGAGTAAGAAGACCTCTCTCTCAGGCTTGAACTATTCTTAACGCCATCAGCAGCGTCCGTGGATGATGTTATAGCGTATTCTTTGTCGTCAATTTCCGAAAAAAAAGTTCCTGATAATCGATTTCTAAATCTAAAAGCAATCAGTAGAGCCCATAACATAAATACACAGCTTCTAATTCCAGATGGACTGAGATATTCAAACTTATCCTCCACTTTCACCGTGACCACGCAAAAATTTTCGTATACCACGGACGAAATCTCAAGAATAAGCGCTGCGGTATAGTAAGATGCCTTTATCATCAAGGGAAGAAATACCATGAAAAATTTCTCCGCTAGAACGTACGCAGTCTTTGAAAATATTGTCCAGATAGCAACGAACATTCCCGTACAGAAGTTAGTCACTAAGACTATCATAGCTGTCATGGCTTCACTCTACCGTTATACAGATGTCGTAAGGGGGCGAAACACGTCGATTGTTTTCTGTTCAAGGTTTTTGAGAAAGAATGTTTTCTGCTGACACTGCTGTGTCAGCCATGTTGATTTGACCATTTATAATTCCGAGATTGAATTGTCAAACGCCTTCTTCTTTTGTTGTTGGAGATGAATACACAATATCTCTTGAGATTTCTTGACTCACAAGCGGACAATCAGGTCGGTAGCTGCTTCTTAATTGCCTGAATGGTCAAACTTTATGTCGAAGGGCTCGTCCACGCTGCACGCTTGCAATATAACAAAGTGAAAATAACAGAGAGGAGAAATATCGTTACGTCACGCTGCCATGGTAGCAAAATTCATAACCTGAGATGAGGCTCAATTTTCGTTTCGCTTTGCAAATAACATTCCGGCGGGCAAGGCGAAAGGAAAAGAGAGGCTTGGATAAATTCTGTCCTCAGAATTTCGAGCAGAATGAGCGATTTTTGAGGCGAGCATTCTGCCGGCAGAATGAGGCATTTTCGAGCAGAATTTGAGCAGAATAAGGGAAAGTCAGCGGCACTAATGATATGCGGAGAGTGAACGGTTGTAAGATGCTAATAAAAAAAAAATACTGTTTCCAAGACGCTATGTCAGCGTGCACTTCATTGTCGCAGTTGTGGAATTAATTGTGAATGCGAAGGAATAGTAAGAAATTAAAATTTTCCGGATACTCTTCCGTTACAAATACCCTTACTTTTCTCCTTTGAGTAACAGACCTCTTTTAAGAAATTTTACTTTCTTAACCGAGAGTCTGCTAGTGCGAGGGGTCATCTCCGCTAATATCCTGTTTCAAATTCTGTTATGAAGAACCTGTATGCTCTTACTTTTCATCAAATTCCACGTTTCGATTATTATTTCTGTCATTAATAAATTGCGCACGAAGAGATTGCAGTTTCACTTCCTTCATTTCCTCTGCAACGACACTTTCCTTATGTACAGTTAATCGGGTGTGGAAGCTGAATAATTGGATCACGATTATTCATTATTCATTTCAAATTTTTCCGTGATATTCATTATTCATCTTTTAGTTTTTGTATTAGTTTCCCTTTCCCAAATTTTCTACAATGCAATTCTATACATTGGTTATCAAAAGTTTACATTTCAGTATACAGGGTGTCCCAAAAGTTCGTTCCTCTAATTTCATGCGCGATAACTTTTGATCAAAACTTCATTTTTACATGAAATTTCTAAAATATGTTTCTTATTCTATCGAGTACTTGTGTTCAGAAGTTCAGTCACCGGCATCCCCCCTTTGTTTTTTTTATCACACTCTGTAGCCGTTGCGGCAGATAAGCCATGTAGCATGTAGAGCCCTAGATGATTCATTTTGAGCTTTTTTATCACCTAGTATGCAGGAGTCACTTCGACTCCCAAACAATATAATTTTTTTGATTAGGAAGCTGAAACAATATATTTTCGGCATTGATCCAAGAAAAGATGATCATTCCGTAAGGTAATGATCACAGTAAGGCTTTTGTTCTTCTTTACAAATTTGAGACGAGCTGAACGTTGCTTGGCGGACGGCCCTGGCCGGGAGTAAAGTTTTTTTTGCCATCTCAGGGGTCTCCAAAGTTTGCTTTTCATGAACCTGCTCCAGACTTAACGTGCTAACTGTTGTAAGAGCTACCTCTTTGGGTTTCCTGTTTTGTACATGGCCTTCTTTAAAACTATTTTAGCGGTTTCATATTCAGGACTTTCGGTCTTACCCCTCGTTTCTTGTCTCAAAACCTTCATTTCTCTATGACCATCTTACCACCCAACACTCGGATTTTTCCATTTTTTTAGGAATTTGTTTGACTGATAAGCCAGAAGATAGAAAAACATGTCGAAACATGCTTTTGCTTGCACGTAGCTGAGTGTTTTTTTCGTTAAGAGGGTTTAATCTTTCAGGATATTCACACAAAACAAGTTAGGAGTTCGAACATTTGGGGCTGCAAAATGCGAAAAATATATGGCGGGAAAATTTACTCGGGTAGCGCACCTTTGGCGCGAAATTACACAAATCGAATTGCGACTCAAAAGATGGCACAAGAAGTATGAAATATTAAATTAGATTGAAAGCCACAACCTTGGTTTAAATTATGTGCTGATCAAGTCCAATCGTACTGCGTTAGAGACCTATAAAGTAGAGGAACGAACTTTTGGGACACCCTGTACATTCAACCTTATCTTTAGCAAGTACCATTCTATCCTTTCTATACATGCGGTCAAAATAATGTTGATCTTTTCGATCAATAGACCGTCTATGCAATTACTAGTCAAAGAACGTGAAGGACCAAACAACAGCAATGAGCTTAATAAATTAACGTTAAGAGCGAATGCACAGAAAAATCGAGCAAAATCGGCAAATCGTGGCCACAGCTAAAAACCTAACTTACCCTCATTTTCAGTCTGTAATAAGGTTTTAATGAGTTTATAACACTGCTGAGGTTTAAATTTCAAAATGCGGCCGAGTTTGGGAATTATTTAAGATTTTCGATTTCAACGGTCTGCCGGCCAAAAATTAGCCGCCGAACGCGGCAATATAGCCTAGCGACAGAAATGAGCTGACTTTCATAAACGAGCGAATATATTGGCAATCTTCCTCTTAAATCTCAAAAAGCAGATATCTAACAATTTCTGAACGGTACATTTTTTAGATTTAGAGCATAAAATATCGACGAACCAGCAAAATTTTGAAACGTAATTTGCATAATGTTTATAAATACAACAATTTACCGCTAAAACCAAAATCGAATTTTCTATATGGGGGAATTCTCCAAATCACCCCAAATCCCGCTTACTACCTAATGAGATATAGTACTTCAACATTATCTGAAAGTTAGTCTGGTGTTCTCGCGAACGCTTGTAAAATAGATTGATTATTTTGAGGTTATTTTGCCCCAAACAACCGCTAATTGACCCCAGGGTCAGTTGACACGTGCACGTCACCTTAGTTTTATGCATCGATTTGAGCTCGTTAAAAGGGCGAAACTAACAAGATTCTTTTAATATGTACCTGTTTTAATGAAATACACGCAATATTCAAAAGGAGAGGCCGTTCAATGGGTAATTTCTGTTCTTGAGATCTTGTAGATTGTACCATGATTCTACCATGGCGTCTGCGAGTGGACCTGAGTCTAGGTCTGTTTTCCCGTGACTGCGAAATCAGAATAACATCAAGAAATAATTCTCCCTCGAATCTTCGTAAGTGAATCAGCTTTGCAGTGCCTTACCTGAGATAAAAAGTGGGCTGAATAGCAAAACAATTCTAGCGCAATTTGGATCCTTTGTGGAACGCAGTGTATTGCTGAGCGAAAGGTGAGTAAACAAACGCAGGAAAGTACGTTACCTTTGATTGCGTGACCAGCCAGTAAACGATAGTCTCCAGCGAAAAATAGGATTCGCAAAAATCTTGCTGATGTATATTTAACAGTTTGTTACTATAAATTTACACCTGGTTTGTCTAAAACTTTAAACAATGCATATCTGTCCAAGAGTATAAGAATGTTTCGAAAGATCCACCCCTAAATAACTGTGGGCTACTCCTTTTTCCCCATCACCGATGTGCACTTCCTTCCCACTGTCTTTTGCATGAGGCTTGTATGCCTTTTTAACTGTTATCGACACTTAAAACTGGCCGTTTAAGGCCTGGTTTAAGAACTTGACTGACTTAAAAAACCGTCGCGAACATGCGCTATTATTGTTGGACTTTGAAAGCTTTAAGCCCAAAATGATGGTGCAATCTCAAGAAATTTTCCCGGGTCTAATTTTAAGACAGGGAACGGGTACTAAGAAAGGGACGGTCTCATTTAGCAACCCGTGGACAATCTGGGCATGCTTGCCTTCTGTCGCAGGGGCAACCTTTAAGTCCAGGTACGCCGCCCCCACCCGAGAGGATTGCATGGCATCCACCATTTCAGTCGCTTTTTTTACATCATGACCTTCAATTATTATGAATTATAATGCGGGCCTTGATCGTTGCCACCTTACCAGAAGTCTAATCTTCGCACTGTTAGACCATGAGAATCTCTATTATTATTATTCCATAAATGCACCATTTGACTTTTCCTTGCTCAGCTTCCGGTAAACCGATACTCCGAAGCAAAAATAGCTTTACAACGACTCTATCCAGGCCAGAACTCCTGATATCAACAAATATACCCCCCCCCCCTCTAAAGAGAGCAAACGTTCCCCGAACTATTCACTTGACCCACCCCATCCCTTCGTTAAGAAAAACTAAGCACTCAGTTCACTGGACAAAACGCGCTCGTGAATATACCAAACTATAGCCGTTCATCCTACAAGCAATCTCAGTTTCAGCAAGCGTGGCCACGTTTCCAGTTGCTCTAAGATTAATTCGACACCTGCAACAGACACTGTAAATTAAATAGAGTGTTTTCACTCACGTGGCCAGCATCTATGCAAATTTATTGGAACAAAAGAAACCGTTTGCATAAGAAAGGAGTTCAACTCCTACAGGATTGGTTTGGGACACCAACATGGCCGCCGTTTCATTGTTTTGGGACACCAATATGGCCGCCGTGATGTCATGTGTAAACACTCTATGCCTTGAAACTGTCAGGACGAGAAAAATTATAAAAGACTTAACAGGTGTGCGCGGCGGTTTCCTTTTCTTCCTTTCCACCCATTGTAGCACTCAAATTCTGACCCTGATATTAATTCTAGTAGTAATTAATCGTTCCTGAGCCGATAGGCACAAGGATACCAGTTTCTTGCAAAATATGCTGTGACATCCGTTTGCTCATCCCCTTTTCTGCCTTCGGCCGCTGATTAGGTTTGGTTCTGTGCTTTGAAATAACTTTAGGAACGAACATGATACGTGAGGGGCGTGTCCGGCTAAGGGCAAGTGACTCTCGGTGGTGAAGACATATACTGAGCTTGTCAGTATTTCGTAGCCTGTACCACGTCGCGAAAATAGAACAAGCCAAAGAAAAATAAGACGCCTTTCTTTCCCCAGCCCACGCAGGTTTTTCGCATTACTTTTTACTGCACAACTGATTCTACCTTTTCGAGCCGGAGCGAACATGGACGCCCTCCACTTCATTTTCGGCACCTGACTAAACGCAAGCGCTGACTTGTGCGCCTATGCCTCGTTTGCACTGAAGTAGCAGTATATGACCACGACAGACTTGCTGCTATCCTTGGTTTGAAACCGCAATGGGCAAGAACAATTTCTTGAAAAGAGCAAACTATTTCCTCCTTAGCAGACATGGAGAACAACTACTAGGACTTAAGCAATGCCATTGCTTAAGTCCTACTAGACT